TATGGTAGGTTGATAATCACAGGTGTTATATCATATGGTAGGTTGGTAATCACTGGTGTTATCTCCCTTGGTAGGTGGTAATCACTGGGGTTATATCCAGTGGTAGGTTGATAATCACTGGTATTATCTCCCTTGGTAGGTTGATGATCACTGGTGTTATCTCCCTTGGTAGGTGGTAATCACTGGTGTTATCTCCCTTGGTAGGTTGTTAATCAATGGTGTTATCACTATGATCATCATTCATTGTTTCTAGGTTATTGTTAGGTGAATGAAACAAGTAGCATACTGCAACATTGATTGTCCATTCATTCGTCAATTTCTTTGTTAAAATCACTACTAGTCAGAAGCAACTTACATGATTTTGATCAAATTTTGCCAAAAGTATCAATAGGGAAAGAGGAATCAATTTTGTATAAATCTCTGCCCTCAGGGGCCTGAGGGGCTGGACCAAAACAGGGAAACGTTGATATCCTGCTCCTCTTGTAAGGAATGATCGGATTTTGCCATAATTTGGTCAGAAGCACTCTTAGGTGAAGGGGAATCACTTTTGTTTAGTGGGTCTTGACCCACTCAGACAGGGCCAAATTGGGTAATTAGAGCAAATTTGTTAAAATCCTATTCCTCTTGTAGCATTACTAGATGAACAAAATGGGTTTCAACCCCCTGGGACAGGAAAGGCAGGGCGAAATAGGAGAAAAGGGTAAATCGTTTAAAATCCCACTTCTTCTGTAGGAATGATTGGATTTTGCCCAATCTAGGTCTGAAGCATTGGTGGGTGATGGAGAATCAGATTTTTTCCTATTGGGGAAATAGAGCAAATTCTTTAAAATGATATTCCTGTAGAAAAGATTGGATTATGACCAAATTTGATCTGAAGTGTTCTTGGGTAAAAAGCAGCATTACAATATATCATCAACTGGGGAATACTGATGATTATTGGATGATGGTAATGTGATTACGTTATGATCAGCATTACATTCGAAGGTAAAAGGAAATATAAGTTATCTCCCCTGTATTTGGTAAGTAGATAAATGCAAAATAAAAAAACATAAGCACAGCTGTGTCGAATTCAAACTTATGTTTAAACTGAATTTTTTAACTACAAATTACAGGAAGCATACCAAGTTGAGGAAACGTTACGGAATTCCAAGTTAAATTGGGTGAAAGATATAAGGCATCTTTTAAACAGACAAGCTAATGATAAAAAATCAAACGATTGATTTTCTTTGTACATACTTTCATTTATTTTCAAAAAGCTTGAATTGCACACACATAACAAAAAACACTTATTTTGCTTTTTACTTCAACCTGAACCAATGCCACTCTGTATCAGTAAATATGTGACACTTGTAACAGATAATGATCACTGTACATTATAAATATAAAAATCAATGAGAAGGCAGTTTACAGACAGAATGTTTTTAAACTTATCACTATTCTACCACATCAGTGACGCAAAATAAACAAATTAACAACCGGATACCAATTTACAATTTTCAATTCATGTACAGTCATGTATTGATCTAAATCAACTTTTCAACAAGAAGCTATTCATTGTTGTAAAATGTATGTAGCTTATCTTCAATAAATGTTTATTACCTTGGTGAACATTTTCATGGTACATCGATTTTACACTACCATGTCATGGCCTGGAGGACTGAGACAATGAGAGACAACAATACATTGTTTAGACTAGACTTTACAATGACCAAAACACAAAGTAATAGCAGTTTATAAAAGTCTTTATATCCGTATACAATACAGCTTTGTTTACACAAAGACTTTTCCTCATTAGAATTGGAATGTGTTTCAGACAGATGTATTAAACTTCTAAAATTTTCAATTGAGGCTCAAAGATGGGGAAAACAAAGCACATATTGCTATCTACATGAAATTACAGTCTAAAAAAGCTTGGTATGTTACAGTTGATATGTTATCTAAATCGACATGCTCATTTTACAACACTACTTGTTCACAAACCTGTTGTTCTTATCTATAAATAGCATATCAATAAGAAGACTAACTGTACATAGTCTTATTTATAATCTATATGTTCAGCAGTTTATCACAATACTTCTCAACACATTACCCTCACAGGTGTTCTAACTTTGCAAGCCTTGGTGTTTTGACAACATTAAAAATCTGATCTCTTCAGTTTTGAGCTCACTATCCATTTAACATATATTTCTGATCAAAGATCCAGTTAAAATAATAGATATGTTCTTGGAAAGACATGGCAGATACAAATGTTAGGCATGTTGAATCACATTTTAAAATCAGACTTCAATTTTTTTTATGCATCATCAATCATATTCAGACCTTTACTTTGCAAACCAACAGAAATATATAAACAAAAAATGCAACACAATCAAAATGAAGGAGAACATGGTGGGGAAAAAATCTCAATTTCTTCTTTTCATAATACATGACTTTGTAACTCAACTACTGGACGGAAAAGTCTGGATGGATTTCATTTTGTAAATAAATTAAATCAAAAATATATCTATACATATTTTGGAATGTTCTAAAGTTCCATAAACAAAAGGATAAACAAATACTGGTGTACATGATGTATATCATCATTTAAATCCATTACATTATCTCACGATGTATGGTTGTAAAATAAAATAAAATAATTACATCATATATAAACACAGGCTGCTTATAACATCGGACGGAAAATACTTGTAGTAAATATGTGAAGTTTACAAAAACCATTATGATAACTAACGGTAGCAGTCAATTGTTAATTTTTTACCCTTTTTCTTTTCACATTGAAATTGTATTGGTGTCAATCTTCAACCAAAATTAGATAGTTTATTTCATATTAATAAACATAAAAAGTCTATGAAAATATAATTCAGCACTTTGTTTATTTGTGTTTTTTGTCAAAATTGACCAGATAACATTGTAGAAATTTCTTAAAGATAAATATGTCTGTTTGATTGTGAAGTCAGCAGTTACAGACAACTTATCTAGAAGATAAAAAAAAACTAGTTGTAGCTTTCTGTGTTGGAAAAAAAAGAACACCTTTCATTGAGCAGTTCTGATTTACAAGTCAGTACAGTTTCCATTTTGACCAAATTTCAGTAAAAAGCAAACTACATTCATGCCTACCTAAATTATTGTATTGGTCACAGAAAATAATATAAACACTTGACTACTTTAGATATTACAATTATAATACTCATGATTTTAAATCATACAGATGAAAATGGAAAGACTGTCAATTTGTGGGTAGAATGACATCATTTTTCAATGACCTAAGGCATCGTTTGAATAAAAAACAAATTAAAAAAATAACTAACATTTTTTTTCACAACCAAGACAAGAGAAAACTGGAACGTACAAGATCAGAAAAATGTCAACAGTAGATTTTGGAATGTAAGACAACTTGTTATGATCATAGCTTTAAGTAACACAATGTACACGTAGATTTTGGAATGTAAGACAACTTGTTATGATCATAGCTTTAAGTAACACAATGTACACGTAAATTTTGGAATGTAAGACAACTTGTTATGATCATAGCTTTAAGTAACACAATGTACACGTAGATTTTGGAATGTAAGACAACTTGTTCTTGTCATAGCTTTAAATAACACAATGTACACGTAAATTTTGGAATGTAAGACAACTTGTTATGATCATAGCTTTAAGTAACACAATGTACACGTAAATTTTGGAATGTAAGACAACTTGTTCTTGTCATAGCTTTAAGTAACACAATATACACGTAAATTTTGGAATGTAAGATAACTTGTTCTTGTCATAGCTTTAAGTAACACAATGTACACGTAAATTTTGGAATGTAAGACAACTTGTTCTTGTCATAGCTTTAAGTAACACAATATACACGTAAATTTTGGAATGTAAGATAACTTGTTCTTGTCATAGCTTTAAGTAACACAATGTACACGTAAATTTTGGAATGTAAGACAACTTGTTATGATCATAGCTTTAAGTAACACAATGTACACGTAAATTTTGGAATGTAAGATAGCTTGTACTTGTCATAGCTTTAAGTAACACAATGTACACGTAAATTTTGGAATGTAAGATAACTTGTTCTTGTCATAGCTTTAAGTAACACAATGTACACATAAACAGACCTTATCTTTTTCTGATTGTTTATATATAAATGTTGCATTTTACATAATTATATAATCAATATTTCTAACTACAAATATATCCGATTTTGAACCTTTCACAATGTGCAAATCAGACAGGTGGCTAATTAATCATCATTTTGAATATTTTTGAACGCAATTTTAAAGTAAAACTATAATATTAAATAAGATATTTTCAATACATAATTCATACATAAGAAATCAAAGATTTTCATGAAGACAACATTATTCCAACAAAGAACCAAAGTCAAACCACAATGATCTGTCATGTATTGTGGACTTATCACCCAGGGTAATTTTGTCAGTCTTCTTGTACCAACTGGTAGCTACCTCACTGAACAACATACAGGAGGCTCATCACATTGCATCCAGGGCAATTTAAAAAAGTTCCTAGCAGGCAACCATGACAGCCTAGACTGGTTTGTTCCTTCAGCTTCCTGAGGAACACAAACGATCATGGGTAAGTAATGACAAACCATGAACCTGGAATTTTCATCCGAGGTCAGGTAGGTCAGTGTTCTAGAGAATGGGTTATTGCAAACCTTGCTTAGAATTAAAAAACTATATCAATGTTGTATTATAACAAACACAATTTATATAGAAAGCAAAAGTAGACCCATCATTCAAGGAGAAATGATCACCCTCATTTATTTAGGTGAACTGTTAAAATATCTCTGAATGTGTGTACTATATTCAATACACACAAAACCATTGAAGATGTCTTTACCTTGACCAGACACATCTTGTAAGTAATTGGAATATATAGCTTAAATATCAACATGGCAGGTCACTGGGTTTGATCAGGACTATATTGGAATGTTTTATATTCAACATACAGGTAAGTATAATTATTCCTTAAAAAAACACTCTAATCACAGTACTGACAAGCATATATTAATACCCAGCATTCATCAATAACTTCTTGTGCTAATTCACTGATCTCACTTCCTAGCTAACTATAAATACAAGCTACACTCCTCTCCTATCATTTTTCCATACCCCTGCACTGTTCCATACCCCTGCACTGTTCCATACCCCTTCACTGTTCCATACCCCTTCACTGTTCCATACCCCTCTCACCAAATCACTTAAAACTATTATGATTATGATTTTCATAGATTTTCTGATTTGGAATTATCACAACCAATATAATCCATGCATGGCAAGTTTACTAGTAATGCAACCAAACTGAGCCATCTTTTCTTGGAAGAGAAGTCCAATGAAAAAAAAAATAAAAAAATAATCACAACTCATATACTGATATTTCTTTCTTGAATTTCAGAAAATGTTAATTTTGTGGCTCAATTTGGGCCCATCAATATTATCCTAAACTTTATGACATGGATTCTTAGTAGTTTGACGGTCCTTTGAGTCTGTAATAGGAGTTCCCATGGCTGTCAGTCGATTTCAATGACCCTGATGACCCCGGTGATCCGTCCTACAGCTTGTGGTGGGTGAGATGTTGCAGTGACATATGGACCGATCTTCCACACTGACTGGCAAAAGTGTTTAATACTGACTTAGTTTTCTTTATCCACTAACATCACCTCCATATTCGACAAGTGTTGTCTTTACTCCCTGCGAAGAAAAAAGGTGTTTTCCCAGTAAATTGAAAGATTTTATCTTTCAGTAAGTAAAAATGAAAGCAATACAAATTTTCAGTTTGCAAAACATTAACGAATGATTCAAACAGTGTTGTGTAGAGTAACATTCCCAACATGAATTACTAAAGTAAATAACAGTAATCAATAAATGGTGATACCACACTCCTAATGTAGAACTTTGTGGTCGTGTAGGATTCAGTTCTTTACTGAGGAAACATAATAATTAAAAAGGAAACTCAACATCATGTAGACTATGTGTGAAAATTGTCTTTATGTTTCGGCTGCTATGCGACTGTCATCAGGGCAAAGATTTAGTGTGAAAATTGTCTTTATGTTTCGGCTGCTATGCGACTGTCATCAGGGCAAAGATTCAGTGTGAAAATTGTCTTTATGTTTCGGCTGCTATGCGACTGTCATCAGGGCAAAGATTTAGTGTGAAAATTGTCTTTATGTTTCGGCTGCTATGCGACTGTCATCAGGGCAAAGATTTAGTGTGAAAATTGTCTTTATGTTTCGGCTGCTATGCGACTGTCATCAGGGCAAAGATTCAGTGTGAAAATTGTCTTTATGTTTCGGCTGCTATGCGACTGTCATCAGGGCAAAGATTTAGTGTGAAAATTGTCTTTATGTTTCGGCTGCTATGCGACTGTCATCAGGGCAAAGATTTAGTGTGAAAATTGTCTTTATGTTTCGGCTGCTATGCGACTGTCATCAGGGCAAAGATTTAGTGTGAAAATTGTCTTTATGTTTCGGCTGCTATGCGACTGTCATCAGGGCAAAGATTTAGTGTGAAAATTGTCTTTATGTTTCGGCTGCTATGCGACTGTCATCAGGGCAAAGATTTAGTGTGAAAATTGTCTTTATGTTTCGGCTGCTATGCGACTGTCATCAGGGCAAATATTTAGTGTGAAAATTGTCTTTATGTTTCGGCTGCTATGCGACTGTCATCAGGGCAAAGATTTAGTGTGAAGGGGTAGAAATATGGCACGAGTTACATTATCATAATAAAGTCGACGTTGAAACAATTATTGTAGTTGTTATTTGTAATCTAGAAAACTCCGTACACACCATGTACACTGATTGTCCGGTTTTTGAAAGGTGGTTGGAAAGTCACTAAGAAACCATGCTTTAATTATTTTTTTAATACAAATCTCCCCCATAATTCATGTTCAAAATCCAAATGTGACCAGCCATAATAAAACCTGTTACACATGGCTATATTGTTAATTATGCATTTATCCAAGAGAGATGAAGATAAAGTTTACGTGAAAGTACCTGTGATAATGGTGTTCCCTTCATAATTGAAAGCACAGCTAAATATCTCATCAGAATGTCCTTCAAGTATTTGTTTACATGACCCCATTTCAGGATCCCAGAGTCGTGCCGTTTTGTCTGAACTTGCTGTTAGCACAGAGGTCCCTTGTGGGTTAAAACAAATCTGAGGAATGGATATCAAATGTATGCATTAACAGTCAATTAAAAGATATTATTATGATGTCAATGAACTTTTCTTAGCTATATTTAAAATTTGAAAGAGGTAAAAACCTATGGACAAGAAATTTATTTAGATTTGTGAAGTTAAAATTTTCAAGACAAATGTCAGACTTTCTAATAAACCGATCAAAATCAATAAATAAGTAAGTAGGTAAATCAACAACATAATTATACCACATTGCACTGAAATAAATTCTTCATCTCTGTATTGGAAAATTGTTCTTTTACAGATCCAGCCCAGAAATTTCTTCCTGTTTTACCTTGGATATTTCTCCCTCGTGACCTTCCAATTTGCAGATGAGACTGTGAGTTGTTGCATTGTAGACACGGGCGGTTGAGTCAGCTGAGGCAGTTAGTAAGTGCTGACCAGTGTAATCAAACCCAACATCCAACACTTCGTCCTCGTGGCCACGTAATGTACCAATGCAACGCCCTGAGGGGATGATCATAGTCACACTAAAAATCGTCATCTTTCTCAATAATATTATTAAATCCTACCAGAAAAAAGCTTAAAGAATGTATAGAGCAAACATCAATATCCTCCCAACAATTTGTGTCAAGCGAAAGAGTAGATAGTGTTTCTACATGTCAGAAGCTAAATACTTATTACATTTTAAGACTTGACATCAGCAGATTTAGTGCCAGCATGCATCTCCTCCAGAAAATTGACATTTGGAAGCGAGCGGTTAAAATGAAGACTGTATCTGGGTACTCATTACTGCTTTATTTCTATATACAGTCCAGGACAAAATGAGAGAGCTACTCTTATCGTACCTAAGTACGGATTTAAAAAAAAGTAGGTATGTATCAAAACTTCGTCATATGACTATTCATGTTTATGTGGCATAACAACAGCTATAATGTAATATGAAGGCATAGCATACTACCTACAAGATATGTACAATACATCACACTCTTACCTATCAGATTCTGAGAGATCTGTACATACAGTTTCACACACTCTAACCTATCAGATTCTGAGAGATCTGTACATACAGTTTCACACACTCTAACCTATCAGATTCTGAGAGATATGTACATACAGTTTCACACACTCTAACCTATCAGATTCTGAGAGATATGTACACACACCTCAACCTATCAGATTCTGAGAGATATGTATATACAGTTTCACACACTCTAACCTATCAGATTCTGAGAGATATGTACATACAGTTTCACACACTCTAACCTATCAGATTCTGAGAAATATGTACATACAGTTTCACACACTCTAACCTATCAGATTCTGAGAGATATGTACACACACCTCAACCTATCAGATTCTGAGAGATATGTACATACAGTTTCACACACTCTAACCCATCAGATTCTGAGAGATATGTACATACAGTTTCACACACTCTAACCTATCAGATTCTGAGAGATATGTACACACACCTCAACCTATCAGATTCTGAGAGATATGTACATACAGTTTCACATACTCTAACCTATCAGATTCTGAGAGATATGTACATACAGTTTCACACACTCTAACCTATCAGAATCTGAGAGATATGTACATACAGTTTCACACACTCTAACCTATCAGATTCTGAGAGATATGTACATACAGTTTCACACACCCAACCTATCAGATTCTGAGAGATATGTACATAGTTTCACACACTCTAACCTATCAGATTCTGAGAGATATGTACATACAGTTTCACACACTCTAACCTATCAGATTCTGAGAGATATGTACATACAGTTTCACACACTCTAACCTATCAGATTCTGAGAGATATGTAAATACAGTTTCACACACTCTAACCTATCAGATTCTGAGAGATATGTACATACAGTTTCACACACTCTAACCTATCAGATTCTGAGAGATATGTACATACAGTTTCACACACCCAACCTATCAGATTCTGAGAGATATGTACATAGTTTCACACACTCTAACCTATCAGATTCTGAGAGATATGTACATACAGTTTCACACACTCTAACCTATCAGATTCTGAGAGATATGTACACACACACTCTAACCTATCAGATTCTGAGAGATATGTACACACACCTCAACCTATCAGATTCTGAGAGATATGTACATACAGTTTCACACACTCTAACCTATCAGAATCTGAGAGATATGTACATACAGTTTCACACACTCTAACCTATCAGATTCTGAGAGATATGTACATACAGTTTCACGCACCCAACCTATCAGATTCTGAGAGATATGTACATAGTTTCACACACTCTAACCTATCAGATTCTGAGAGATATGTACATACAGTTTCACACACTCTAACCGATCAGATTCTGAGAGATATGTACATACAGTTTCACACACTCTAACCTATCAGATTCTGAGAGATATGTACATACAGTTTCACACACTCTAACCTATCAGATTCTGAGAGATATGTACATACAGTTTCACACACTCTAACCTATCAGATTCTGAGAGATATGTACATACAGTTTCACACACTCTAACCTATCAGATTCTGAGAGATATGTACATACAGTTTCACACACTCTAACCTATCAGATTCTGAGAGATATGTACATACAGTTTCACACACTCTAACCTATCAGATTCTGAGAGATATGTATATACAGTTTCACACACTCTAACCTATCAGATTCTGAGAGATATGTACATAGTTTCACACACTCTAATCTTTCAGATTCTGAGAGATATGTACATACAGTTTCACACACTCTAACCTATCAGATTCTGAGAGATATGTACACACACCTCAACCTATCAGATTCTGAGAGGGAAACACAAACCTGATGGCATGTCCCAGATGCGACATGTTTTGTCCATGGAGCCAGTGGCAATAAGAGAACAGTCATAGTTGAACTGGGCACTGCTGATTTCTGCCTTGTGACCGATCAATGTGTGGACACGACTGAAGACAAATTGCAAAGTATTTATCAGAACAAATATAGCAGGCATATCGATGTTATCAAACTACAACAGTTTTTTTGTAAAATAGTAAAATATATTGCCTTAAACTGCAATACCTGTACAAATTTGATCCTAAATGTGCAAACATTGACCCTGACGTAGAAACTTGAACAGTGACGTCGGTAATCCAGACATGCATGACCTGAATCTGTGGTGTGCATGTAACCTTTAAGTCAGACATGCATGACCTCTGACCTGTGAAACTTTGATCCAGAGATTACCACTACTTTTTCATACCTTCCTGAGTTTACATCCCAAACAGAAACTGTGTGGTCAAATGATCCTGTAATAAGTTGACGACCTGATGAGTTGAAAGATAAGGAGATGATTTCAGCTGAATGACCCTGCAAACAGAAAAGTAAAGTCTATATTATAATTCATAGATCAGGATTAAAAAAAAAGGAAGACTGGATAGCAACAAATCCAAATAAGCTGAAAAAATTAATCTCAACACTAAAAGTTCAATGTTACATTGTTAGTATCTATTCCAGGGGTTAGATGGAGCAAAACGTTTTCACTTACTGTTAGCGTTGCCTTCTCTTGTCCTGTTTCTACATCCCACAGTTTGGCAGTGGTATCCATACTGCCAGTTGCTATCACAGAACTCTGGGGATTAAAGCTTAGACACACCTGTAAATAAAGCATAAAGCTCATAATCTCCCTCTGTGTTTTCCTCTTTTTTATATCACTCTTTACTTCTCTGTCTTTGTACTTATCTGCACTGACTTTTAGGGTCCAGGATATTTAAAGGAAGGACTATTGAACACAATATGATGTGTTTTTGTAAAATATTGTTGTCTCTGTTCTAAAATACAGGGCATTGCAGCTTGATATATAAATATTGAACTACGTTTACAAAGAAGAAATAGAGTCCTGACCAATCAACTCACCTTACAGACACAATAGTCACTCAGATATCAAAAGCTTAGGTGCCATACACTTAACCTAGACCTAACTCGTTTAAGTTAAACTCAGTACAGGGCATACGTTCTGTTTTTCATGAAGAGCCCAATGAAATATTTACACCATGCTAAAGAAGAACAGTTACTGATTATGAAGTGTTCATCTAACTAGAAAATGTCTTCAGACATGAATGCCCTTACTACGGTGCATATGAATATTAATGTTTGATAAATTTCCAAATTATGTTACCTTTGACCTTTTAAATTGATGACCACCTTGTATAATATGGGTGTAGAAAATGATGTTTTGATTATATGAAGTAAAAATGTTATTGTTTCTGTTATAACATCATCAATTTCTAACAACCAATGAAAAAAGCTCATGCTACGTAACATTATTGACATAACAGCAAAAAAACTACATGGGATTATACACTGAGTTACAGAAGAATTATGTAATGGATAGGTCACATTTCTAGTCTCACTTACAATTTCAGCAGTATGACCCCGGAACGTATGAAAGCACTTGCCAGTCTCTGAACTCCAAAGCTTGCACGTTTTATCAAAAGAACCGGTAGCAATCTTGTCCCTGAAACATCACATGAAATGACAAATAGACAAAATAAACATGAATTTTCAGTACCGGCTGATTGTGTGAGTAAAGATATATCTACAAAAATCAAGTACAAAACCAATTAGTATTTCTTTGAAATACCATGAAACATAAGTCCCACAAAAATATATGATTTCATAGTGTGTTGTGAACTTAATGAGAATATAATACACTTAAAACCTTAAAAATAATTATGATTAAAACAGACTTAAGAACTTTGAAATGTACTGTTTTATATAGACTTTGAAATGTACTGTTTTATACACACTAAAGACCTATAAAATGTAGTTTTATACAGACAATCAATAGAAGAATGACTGGTCAGCACAAATTTAGTATCTAAGAAATAGCTACATTGTATGTGACAACAATGATCAATTTCAATTTATTCAAGCATCACACATTTCATTCTCTCTATCCAAACATAGTGAAGGTGCTGACCACATTTTCTTATATATACATATAATATAAAGAAGTAATTTTTATGACTTTTTGGATAAATCTAATAATTACTTACAGAAGTTATGTTTTTTGTTTTAAAAAATGTTATTGAATATCTGAGTAAGCTTGCTTAAAGTATTATTTTGTGACACACCTACTGGTAAGAGTTGAAGGTAAATAGCGGTACCCAAACTGAGAAAATTACAAGCAATAAGGTATTTAAATTGAACATGGTGATGTACTTACCCATAAGGGTTATTGAAGGCAATTGCATAAACAACATTCCTATGTCCCTCTAAGGTATGGAGCTCCTCCCCAGAGGCTGTGTCCCAGACTTTACATGTACGGTCATAACTACCTGTGATGAAACTGTAACAAAGGTTAAAGGTGAAAGATGCTGTACTAGTGGACATTCAAATTAACACAGCACATACATATATCAATTACTTGAATGGCAACTTGTTTAGGCACTCTATCTGTTAGAACACAAGAGATGGTAAAAATGATACAGTATAACACAAAAGTTCTTATTTATATAGACACAGAATATCAATCCAATGACAATGAAAAAGGTTGAAAGTGTCTTTGACTTTATTACTGATCTCAATTTTCCTTAAATATGGGTTCAAATTTGTTTAAGATAATAAAATCTTACCTTGATCCAGACTTGTTGAATGCTACATTTGTTAATGGCAATATGTGAGCTCTTAGCACCTGTAAAGTAGAAAAAACAATCATGGTCATTAAACATACGAACAATGTGTATCAAGGGGTAGGCAATTGTGCAGCAAGAATCAGCCATTTTCTGATAATTTAATTTTGGTGAAACCAAATTTAGGGTAAAACCTGTGAAATATGATACATATTAACCATCTTTTTATTAAAGAAATATAATAAAAATCACATTTGTCTTATTTTACAAGCAGTTGTCACATTCAGCTGTTGCTAGGAGACTCCAAACAAAAGGTTATTCCAATCATCAAACAATTCTTTAATCATTGATTATAAAAAACAAGACAAATATATCACTGATTTTACATCTGACTTGGAGATTTCATAATCAATGATTAATTGGATTTATATAACATCTACATGACAGATTTACTATTAATGATAATAAATTTCTAAGCCGTAACAAGCAGAAAGTGCCAAAAAAGACAGTGTTTCAGGTGACCATGGTAATAGAAGTCTTAATTACATTTAATATTATACAACAGCATTACAAACATTTCAAACAGAAATACCAATTGTTACATATTGAGGTGATAATTAGAAATTACTCAGGTTAAGGAACCCATTAATTAAACTGGCAATATCATGGAATCTGTTTTATTTTCAATACTAGAATTATGTGACAATGAAGACGACAAACCTTGAATAAATAAAAGTGATGATCATCTCGTTGACTCAACTTTTCCTGCAAACCTGTGTGACATTAAGGAATTATTGCTGACACAGCATGAAAAGAACTTTTTTTCTCTCAAAATTATAAAGACAAAGTATTTCAAATTTCAAAATATAAGAACAAGATGAAGTAGCTAATCTAAAAGCCATAGAAAGGATTATAAATCTTTCTTACATTGTATTATATGTTGATGAACAGAATTTAATTACATGAAAATACTTTGGAACAGATTCAAACACCGACCTATTTAAGGTATTTTGTTGAAAAATTTCTAAAACTTTTTGTCATTTCTGACTCATCGGAATAAGAGCAAATAGTTTGATAACATTTAGCGTCTTGCATGATATTTCTAGTTAGTATTATCAACACAGGAAATTCTCAATAACCAAAACAATACTTGCAAGACAGCAAGACTAAGGTGCCTGAGATGAAGAGCAGATCTTTTGATCCATGTGCCATATGCATGTGAAAAAGATGATTTCTTTCCATAATTCTCATTTGAATACCGACCTAGACACAGGTCACTGATTTCCCTCACTTATATAGGGCCGGAGTTGTCAGTTATATCAACTCCAGCTGATATAAAAAATTGATAGAACATCAGAGAAATTTTAGTCTAGTTGTTTGTATGAAGGATACGAATAACAAGTTTCCTGACTTGGTCTGTTTTGGAGGCTGTAATAAGCGGCTCTTTCCTTGCAATCTCATCCACAACAGCATCTACATCAGTCCTGAAATTTTAGATAAATACATCAGTTATACCATAGATTAATTTGGACAGAAGTTGTAATGTAATCTCACATCCAACTTCCTAAGTTAACGATTATTTGATATGGAATATTATGTCAACATTCCTGGAGTGGCATGGCACAAATGGGACCCAGATGAAGACACATTTACACACAAGCTTAATTCAAAGTTAAAAGTTTGTATCAGACTTCATTTTCATATGTCTGTCTTGCTAATGCTGGTGAAAATATTTAAAAAGTTTGACTCACTCTGGTCGTAGATCAAGCAGGTCTATCGATTTTGTTTTCATATTTCCTCCTTGTTCATACTCCAATATGATTCCTGGAAAAAGTCAGATGATTTTTAAATACATGAAGAAGTAAATACATTATATCTTATTGGTACTTTATAATAAAATCATCATGTTATACAATTATACAGGTTTAGTAATCTTTTCATGGGTGATAAGTTATGTTTATTGGCCTTATCAATTAAAAATGTTGCCATTTCTCTTTCCTCTATAATTTTGTGATGGCAACAGCTACAGAAGCTCTGAAGCATTGTCCTTGTTAACCAAAAATTAATGATTAATACAAATATAAATTCATGAACAGACAGTTAAACCCCTTTGACTTTCTGTAGCCATGCTATTTTCTAATCTAATGCACCCCATTTTCGACATATTTATTTTTCAAAAGAAACTGCACACATTATTTGAGTTTTTAAGGTAAGAGCAACATTCTACACAGGTAACATGTGCAACATCACATTCTGTTATATGTTCAGACAAGACCCCAGGACTTGATCCATCTGACAAAAACTCTTCCAGAAAAGAAAGCCATGGAGCAACTGAGCTCTGCACTTTATCTTTAGCCAATCTTAATAAAAAATACTGAAGATGCATTTTTGCTTTCTAAATTTTTTTTACTTATTTTGATTTTTACTACACATAAAGATGATTTTACATAAATGAAATGGCATAAATCAAAATTTCTTTATCCCTTTCAAGTATATACAAAAGCACAAATTATGTCAATGTCACAATAAACGTGCAATATATCACTCGCTGTAGCACTCCAAATTTTCTTAAGTTTTTGAAGTATTAACCGATTAACCGAAATTTATTGGTAATGTTTAATGGTGTGGTTTAACCGAGAAAGTCAGTGTGGCATGTAAGCTTCACTCTGTCTAGGCACTGCCCGACTCATATTTTTCATATTACCAGTGTTACACTATTTTTCCCGATTTATCACCAAAAGGCTCGCGATCGCTGCCGTCAGATTTAGCTGCAATCACTGGTTTCCAAGAGATGCCAGTGTATAGCCAATCATTAACATGGGACCGACATATTTTTTTGTTTCAGCGGACTAATGATATAACAAAAATGCATAATAATGTCTGAATATAGGATCTAAATGGCAAGGAAAATATTTGAAAAGCTCGATCTCTCGATCCACAGTCACTGATCCCATGTTTTTATTATTACTGTACTCTGTAGTTTGTGTCTACATACTGGCCGAGATGACATCTAGTCATCGCTTGTATTTTTCAAGCTAGAATACAGATGAAACACCAAAGACTTCAAGAAAATCAAACCAATATTGTGTCAACTATCGCATGATCTTACCAGGTGGGTAATAACGAAGTAAAAAACGCTTCAGTTTCATTTTCGGTGATCGGTGCGGTTTCTACCAAACATTCAAGATGGAGGTCGGTTTTGGTGCATTATGGGATATTACATCCTCAAGGGGACGTTACTCTGAAAATAAAAACAGAGTTCCGGTGAAAATCCAGACATCATCGATGAACGACTACATGGGGCCAATGCACAGCGCGTCTGGCTTTTGTAAGTTAATATCATCCTTGGTGTGAAATAATAAGTTCACATATGTATAATAATAACGAAGAAGTTAAAGAAATTATCACAAAAATGTCATTATTATGAATGACGTCCCTTATGTGGAAGAAACACAATATTCATTGGGTCACCAGCTTTAGCCTTTTTTCTCTCAATCTTAGTATACGTACCTTTACTATGAATCGCAAAACCAAACAACTACCAAAAGGAAAATGCTTTAGAATTTTTTTTCTGGTGACATCTCAAAATCAGAGATACTATTGAGTTAGACTGTGATAGCCCGGAAGAACGCTTCTAATTTTAAAGTACGTATATCCCTAGTCAAATACTCTATTTACCTCGATTAGTTGAGAGTAAGCACATACACATGTATCTGGAACATAAACACCGATGGCGAAAATCTAGTCCACACCTTAATTTTCGCTTATATTGTTTGATAATTGAGAATTGTAAACCACAGGTCTCTTAGTGGAGACGTTGAAATTTATAATGACCTCTGTTACATTGGAATTTATGTAGGGACTCGGGAATAATATCGGTTACATAAGTAGGTGGATTTTTGGATATTTTATCATGTTTGGGAGAATAGATTAAATTTTACAAATGTATAATATGAAAAAAAATACATTCTTTTTCAAAGAAACATATAATCACTGATATTTTGGACTATGTTTGGTTCAATGTTAAAAAAATAAATGAAAAATATTAACTCAACTTCAATAACCTATATTCAAAAGATGGAAAAAGTAAAGTAATATGATATATTTTTTTTCAATTTTCATTTTGAAAGTTTCTAGCATCATATAGATAGTCAGGTAGTGTACAATAACTTGTTGTGACAGTCTTTTTACCTGCATGATTTGTATTTTGTTTTATATGTAGACATGACCAGTTCTTTTTGCACTAAACCCTGTATTTATTTCAGACAAGACGCCTGTCAGTAAAGGTCTGTTGGGAGTCTCATTGCTGTCATCTTTCCTCCTTAACTTCCCCCTCCACAATCATCGACATCTATTCCTCTATAGTCAGGCAGCTATAGTAGAAAGACATCAGGTATGTATACAACAAAGAAGAGAAGTGAGAAATGATGGGAAATACACTTGGTGGATGGTTTGATCTTTAGGATTTACAATTCTGTGATAATATATATCTGATACATTGAATATACTGAACAGATTGATATATGTGAAGGATTACATACAGCAACAGTAGTGTTGGGATGATGATATGATACAATCAATTATCTACTAGTTATCATATAATCATATGATGCATTGATGGATCGGAATTTTTCATAATTGATCATACGTGCTCAATATTTTCATATTTCCATGTGTTTTACCAAAAAAACCCAATAAAAAATAAAACACAAAAACATAAAAAAAAAAATAAAACAAAAGAAATTCATATTATGCATGATAAAGACAACAATAGCCAATCATATTCATTTTTATGCGGATTCTAAGTAGGTGACGTAATTTAGGTCAAATTTACAAAAAATATTGAAATATTACTGCCACAGAAATTGCATTCTTTGTGAATAATAAACACACAGACAACCAACTATGTAGTTGATTGACTACATCAAATAACTCATCAGATTCAACCGATAGTTGATTATTGATTTTAAGCAATTTCTCTTCACTAACTGTTGAACACTTTGACCTTTATTTCATGTTTTACTGCTTTGTTTATATGTTCTATTGGCCCCTTTCCAAAAAAAAGCTACCTTTTTCCCAGGAATCACTATGTGGGCAAAATTTAGGGATGTTTACTTGTGATTTTGATGAAAAATAAAATGCTTATCATTATATAGGAAAATTCCATCCACTTTTTTCCAAAATTAATGACCCAGAATTATCCCTACAGAATAATGTAGTAACCTACATTGCTTGGTTTGGTACTGTCTACCAACCTTTATATAGTTACCTTTGGATGCAACATTACAATATTTCAACTGCATCGTAACAAAATTATGAATTTTATCGTTTATCTTTTGATTATGTTTAAGTTTTGGAGACTGTTGACTTCGAAGCTAGCGTACCTGGACATCAAGGACTTGTTTGTGTGTTCTTTACTTATCTATTACTTCCGAGTTTTTGAGCGCCGCTATGGTTCCCACAAATTTGCGGTGAGTTACGATTTGTAGACAAGTATATTCTTGTTGTTGGATTGAAGACATTTATCTTTGTTATTCATGACACATTTTATGTAATACATGCATGATTTGTGAATCATAAGGATTTGTGGAATTGATCCTTTGATTACTTTGATAAGACTGTATGAGTGTATTTTAAACTGATTTATATAAAGTTTTTCATTAAAACAGAGTCATAGAATCGATCTCATTTAATTATTTCCTTGTCAACTCCAACTCCAAATTACTGTATTTTGTTGTACAGAAAATTGTGCAAAATATTAACATTAGAACATTCGGTTTACAAATTGTGTTTTCAAAACCTCATTGCTGTTTAATCCTTGCAGTCATACATGCTGGCAACATTTGTTGTGGGAACAGGGCTGGAGATGGCAGCTGCATTCTTCTTAAGGTGGCTTGGATTTAAATATGAACTACTGCCATCTGGACCGTAAGTAAATATCAAAATGAAATTTTCACTTCCAATCAGTACTGAAATTTCTCTGTATAATTTTTGTGGTTACAATTCTGTTCCATGTTTCATACAGTATTAACATTTTGATATTTTTGGTTACAGGATGTGTATGGTATATCCGTTGTTTATACCTTACCACTTAGATATTCCTAGAGTGGCATTTGGTCATATTCTGGGTGTTCCTGTTACTGGAAAATCCTTCCAATATTTTTTAGGATTACAGGTATGTTGTTATTCCAGTATTTGCTAGGAAAAATGGTAATGTATATTCTTGGACAGCAGATTTTAAAGTCACTAGTATTTTCTTATTTTTTTATTTTAGGACTGCGTTCCATTCTAGTGTCTAACTTACATGTAGTAGTAACTGTTTGAGCAGTGTCTTAATATGGCTTTGGTTTCATTAGTACTCGAGTCCCCACATATCCTCTGTGCATACATGATTATTATAGAACTGTATAAAACTTCAGTTTTACACTGCATCATCAAAAGGTATGATATGGTCTTTATCATTATACTTAGATCTGTTTTTACAGTTAGGTGCACCATAATTAATCTTTAATAACTTTATTTGTATTTGTAGTTAGCTAGTGGGTCAGCAGAGTCCATCTTAGTAGCAGTTTGTGGACTGGTAAGTATAATGTATAAAATTTGTTGGTAATTCTACCGAAGTGCAATAGATATGGGTGGGCTTATTATCTGACATCATTTATTTTTTCTGATTGTTCAAGGAATGATAAACCCAGCAAACATTCAAAATATCATACTTTGATATAAAAATAGGATAAACATGTCTTTTGATTAGTTCATTCAGCCATGATCCTCTTTTCATCAAATGTATTTCACTCTCAACATATTTTCTGAAATTAATCTATGGATTTCAGTTTTGTGGAATCCTGTGGAGGATAGATTTTCTTAAAGTACAAACCACGTTGAAAATACCAAAGTTTGTGGCAAGTCTAAGTTGCAGTACTCTGGGACGTATTCTGGAGTCAAAGGCTCCATCTGGGGATAACACACCAATGGGAGCCACACTAGAACTTCAACGACAAGAGCAGATGGAGCATCTAGAACAACAGATGATATGGCAGGCTGTTCAACAGCAACAACAAGGCCAAAATATCAATATGGCACAGGTATGGCAACAGCTTGGTGGTGACAACAATAAATGAGGTACTTTGGTAGCAAACACTAGGGGCATCAGCGTAGATTTGGTATGACAACATCTATGGACATCAGCATAGCTAAGGTGGCAAGTGTGTTACTAGGGTAGTGTTTAGACATAGCTAAGGTGGCAACTTTGTTACTAGGGCAATGGTTAGACATAGCTAAGGTGGCAACTTTGTTACTAGGGCAATGGTTAGACATAGCTAAGGTGGCAACTTTGTTACTAAGGTATTGCTTAGATATAACTAAGGTGGCAACTTTGTTACTAGGGTAGTACTTAGTCATAGCTAAGGTGGCAACTTTGTTACTAAGGTATTACTTAGACATAACTAAGGTGGCAACTTTGTTACTAGGGTAGTGCTTAGTCATAGCTAAAGTGGCAACTTTGTTACTAGGGTAGTGTTTAGACATAGCTAAGGTGGCAACTTTGTTACTAGGGCAATGGTTAGACATAGCTAAGGTGGCAACTTTGTTACTAGGGTAGTGTTTAGACATAGCTAAGGTGGCAACTTTGTTACTAGGGTAGTGTTTAGACATAGCTAAGGTGGCAACTTTGTTACTAGGGTAGTGTTTAGACATAGCTAAGGTGGCAACTGTGTTACTAGGGTGGTGTTTAGACATAGCTAAGGTGGCAACTTTGTTACTAGGGTAGTGTTTAGACATAGCTAAGGTGGCAACTTTGTTACTAGGGTGGTGTTTAGACATAGCTAGGGTGGCAACTTTGTTACTAGGGCAATGGTTAGACATAGCTAAGGTGGCAACTTTGTTACTAGGGTAGTGCTTAGACATAGCTAAGGTGGCAACTTTGTTACTAAAGTAGTGCTTAGACATAGATAAGATGGCAACTTTGTTACTAAGGTAGCATTAAGACATAGCTAAGGTGGCAACTTTGTTACTAGGGCAATGCTTAGACATAGCTAAGGTGGCAACTGTGTTACTAAGGTAGTGTTTAGACATAGCTAAGGTGGCAACTTTGTTACTAGGGTAGTGTTTAGACATAGCTAAGGTGGCAACTATGTTACTAGGGTGGTGTTTAGACATAGCTAAGGTGGCAACTTTGTTACTAGGGCAATGCTTAGACATAGCTAAGGTGGCAACTGTGTTACTAAGGTAGTGTTAAGACATAGCTAAGGTGGCAACTTTGTTACTAGGGTAGTGTTTAGACATAGCTAAGGTGGCAACTGTGTTACTAGGGTGGTGTTTAGACATAGCTAAGGTGGCAACTTTGTTACTAAGGTAGTGCTTAGACATAGCTAAGGTGGCAACTGTGTTACTAGGGTGGTGTTTAGACATAGCTAAAGTGGCAACTTTGTTACTAGGGTAGTGTTTAGACATAGCTAAGGTGGCAACTTTGTTACTAGGGTAGTGTTTAGACATAGCTAAGGTGGCAACTTTGTTACTAGGGTAGTGTTTAGACATAGCTAAGGTGGCAACTGTGTTACTAGGGTGGTGTTTAGACATAGCTAAGGTGGCAACTTTGTTACTAAGGTAGTGTTTAGACATAGCTAAGGTGGCAACTTTGTTACTAGGGTGGTGTTTAGACATAGCTAGGGTGGCAACTTTGTTACTAGGGCAATGGTTAGACATAGCTAAGGTGGCAACTTTGTTACTAGGGTAGTGCTTAGACATAGCTAAGGTGGCAACTGTGTTACTATGGTGGTGTTTAAACATAGCTAAGGTGGCAACTGTGTTACTAGGGTGGTGTTTAGACATAGCTAAGGTGGCAACTGTGTTACTAGGGTAAGACTAGAACTAGGTGGTTTCACTGTAGCCAAGGTTTGACCACTATGCATGAAATTCATATTGCTTACATAGACCAGCATAGGTAGTCAATACTAGGGGAGTATTTTCCTGCGAAACATTAAACTGTTTTAGTGCTACATCCCAGAAAAGGACAATTTATTCATTTACACACTTCTTCAGGAAATAAGAAGAAAATATCATACATATTATATATATATATATATATATATGAATACTAAGTGCCATGATTCTGGGCTCTTGTGTTACTCTGCATTTTGTTCTTTGTAGAATTTGGTGAATGGTCCTGGACTATTTGGAAACCAAATAGATCTTGGAGGATTACGAAATAGATTAAACATAGGTAAGAATGCTTTGATGTTTTTGTTGTAGTTGGTTTGGAAGATACATAATATGTGTAGGTATTGTAAAAACAATTGTAAAAAGTTGATAACAATTATTTCTGTATCTGCATCTTCCATTCTTCTTCTCCAACTTGAATCATTGACAAATTAAGAAGCATGTATTTCCATTTTACCTACATTAGTCATTAAAATGCAAAATCAAAAAAAAAAATACAAAGCAACATTGATGTTGAGGGATTTTTTTCTAGGGGGAGACAATCCACCAGGACAGGCAGTAGAAGAGCCTATCACAGAGGAAAATGTAAGATATTTTACTGATTTATTTCTTTAACACTTTTCTAAATTAATTAAGAAATTATTACTTTACAAACCAATGAAAACGATAAGGGACCTGGTGATGTCAGGGTTATCAGGATAAGGCACCTGGTGATGTCAGGGTTATCAGGATAAGGGACCTGGTGATGTTAGGGTTATCAGGATAAGGGACCTGGTGATGTTAGGGTTATCAGGATAAGGGACCTGGTGATGTTAGGGTTATCAGGATAAGGGACCTGGTGATGTCAGGGTTATCAGGATAAGGGACCTGGTGATGTCAGGGTTATCAGGATAAGGGACCTGGTGATGTCAGGGTTATCAGGATAAGGGACCTGGTGATGTCAGGGTTATCAGGATAAGGGACCTGGTGATGTCAGGGTCATCAGGATAAGGGACCTGGTGATGTCAGGGTCATCAGGATAAGGGACCTGGTGATGTCAGGGTCATCAGGATAAGGGACCTGGTGATGTCAGGGTCATCAGGATAAGGGACCTGGTGATGTCAGGGTTATCAGGATAAGGGACCTGGTGATGTCAGGGTTATCAGGATAAGGGACCTGGTGATGTCAGGGTTATCAGGATAAGGGACCTGGTGATGTCAGGGTTATCAGGATAAGGGACCTGGTGATGTTAGGGTTATCAGGATAAGGGACCTGGTGATGTTAGGGTTATCAGGATAAGGGACCTGGTGATGTCAGGGTCATCAGGATAAGGGACCTGGTGATGTCAGGGTTATCAGGATCAGGGACCTGGTGATGTCAGGGTTATCAGGATAAGGGACCTTGTCCTGGTGTATAAATATTACCAGAGATCTTGTGTTGAAAGGGCAAGGACCAGGTAGTGAAGTGTTACCAGGACATCAGGCATAATGATGAAGAGTTAGTAGGGCAACGGCCTGTTATTAAAGGGTTACCAGGACAAACTGAAAGAGAAGGGTTACCAGGACAAACTGAAAGAGAAGGGTTACCAGGACAATGACTGAAAGAGAAGGGTTATCAGGACAATGACAGAAAGAGAAGGGTTATCAGGACAATGACTGAAAGAGAAGGGTTATCAGGACAATGGCTGAAAGAGAAGGGTTATCAGGACAATGGCCCAGGGATGATGAGATTCTAGGACACGGGGCGAGTGGTGACAGGATATCGGCATGGGGCCTTGGAGTGAAGGGCTATCATTCATAGGGTTTAAGTTTCTTCTAACAAATGTAACTGATATTAGTACACTAAATAACATGGTTCAACTCAAACCGTTCTGTAACAAAAACAACAGAATGTGTTACAACACAGACATTTATCTGACAACAACAACAACAGAATGTGTTACACCAGACATTTATCTGACAACAACAACAACAACAGTGTGTATTACATCACACATTTCTGTAACAACAACAACAGAATGTGTTACATCAGACATTTCTGTAACAACAACAACAACAACAGAATGTGTTACAACACAGACATTTCTGTAACAACAACAAAAGAATATGTTACAACACAGACATTTCTGTAACAACAACAGAATGTGTTACAACACAGACATTTCTGTAACTACAACAACAGAAATGTTGCAACACAGACATTTCTGTAACAACAAAAACAACAGAATGTGTTACAACACAGACATTTCTGTAACAACAACAGAATATGTTACAACACAGACATTTCTGTTACAACAAAAACAACAGAATGTGTTACAACACAGACATTTCTGTAACAACAAAAACAACAGAATGTGTTACAACACAGACATTTCTGTAACAACAAAAACAACAGAATGTGTTACAACACAGACATTTCTGTAACAACAACAACATGAAAGGTTCTTGTTTATGTCAATGATTGACTTTGAAAAGCGATGGTTACAAATTATTTAGTAGAAAAGAAATACCATAAATACTCAAAAATAAGAATTTGCTTAACATCACTTTCTCTTGTAGTAAAGAAATGCAGTGCGTTTGCAATTAGAAATGACAGTTTTAGAGTTTGACTTATTTTTGATGTTGTTTTGTTTTTGAAGGTGGATGATTTTTGTGGGAGGTTTCTTTTTTGTGGTTGAAATTTTAGATATCAATGTAATGAAATTTTTACGTTGTTTTACCTCGACTCTTTATTTACATCTTGTTTTAACTTTCTTGTAGGTACAGCACCTAGTTGATATGGGATTTGGTGCGGACAGGGTTCGTGAGGCACTTCAAGCTTCAAACAACAACGTTAGTGCTGCCACACATATTTTGCTGCAAGACTCCTAGCAAAAATTATTCTTTCACCAAAGTTAATTCGTCTCAATTTTTCAATGACTGATTTTTCAGCAAAGTTCATTCATGATGAAAAAGGATGCGGAACATTTACATTGGAAACTCGGTACATAATCTACAACATTCACAGGATTTCTTTGGATAGATGTTCCTATAGATTTTCTCACATGTTATTTATGTCAAAATGGTTTTGAATTTTTTTTTCATTATATTAAGGACATGTAGATTAATCATGATATTCAATGTCAAGTAAGAAAGACTGCTTATCACTAAACTTGTTGATGAAAGTCCTTTTAGCAACATGTCATATCAAAGAAGGGTAAACCATCAAACTCATTTTATTGTGAATTCAAGATTCTGACCAAAGCATACTTGTTCTCCAAACATGTGTCACTTCAAAGTTCTGTAAAGACTGCGGACTGATATTCCTTAATATTTCAATCAAGCACACTAAGACTATGATTTGACTTAGTGTAACAGAGGTCATTGTATTTCAATACCTCCACTAGGGATTGAAACAGAGGTCATTGTATTTCAATACCTCCACTAGGGATTGAAACAGAGGTCATTGTATTTCAATACCTCCACTAGGGATTGAAACAGCGGTCATTGTATTTCAATACCTCCACTAGGGATTGAAACAGAGGTCATTGTATTTCAATACCTCCACTAGGGATTGAAACAGAGGTCATTGTATTTCAATACCTCCACTAGGGATTGAAACAGAGGTCATTGTATTTCAATACCTCCACTAGGGATTGAACACAGGATTTCTGGGTTTTTCTAGACTGATCATGCTTCAGAGAGGTTCTGTCTAGCAGAGCAGTATATTGTTGCTAGTATTTTTCAGGGATACATACGCCTCCTTTAGAAAAGACTTCATGTTTTTGTTAACAGTGATGTTTATGGGATAATGCTAGTTATTATTCCTTAGTACCAATATTGGTGCCAATGGGCTTACGAGTCTGATGCTCACAGATCACACTAAAGAAAAATTCTCTCTGAGGCTGGTATTTATTAGAGTTACCATATGTCTTCATGTTTTGTGTACTTTATGTTTAATTGACTGAGGCTGGTATTACCAGAGTTACCATATGTCTTCATGTTTTGTGTACTTTATGTTTTATTTGTCTGACTTGGTGTATCTGCGTTTTATGCAAAAAGTGTCAGGTTTATAGATGTTGTGGATTTTCGCAATTGTTATTAAAAAAACAGCAGAAATAATGAGATAAGTATCTCTTGATTGATGCTATGTTTATTTTACAAACATAGTGACAGTACAACAGCTGATGTGACTACATATTGACTGAAGTAGATGATGTGATCACACAACAACATTATACAAGGTTTACTTGCTGAAATTTTTGCCATCAAGGCTGCCATTTTGTTTGATATGCTACATCATGCACTAGATCATATGCATGTTTGAACAAGACAGTAAAGCAAAGCTTCTAAATGACTCAGAAGTTACTCCAGAAATTTTTAAATAGGGAGTTTGGTTATGGCTGAGGGTTCGAAGCTCAGCTGCGACATTTTTTATTTATTTATCTTTTTATTTTGTTTCATTTTGTTATTTACGTAGTTTTTCCTTGAGTCTAATATTTTTTACTATGAAACTGGTAAATACGAAATCATTTACCAAAATTGTTTTGCAGGACTCTTTTTTATTTTGTTTGTTTCGCTCCAGCCACTGCATTATGTGTCACCAGACCCCTTGGCCATTATAAGGAATTGTTCAATAAAAAATACATCATTTCTTAGAAATAGATGTATTTGAAACACACTTTTATACAAAGACTTATTAACAATTAGCTTGTCAAAATCAAAGTGAAAAAAATCTTGATTTGTAACTGTTTTTGTCCACTTCAAAACTTTTGTTCTGTTGTTAAATGACTTCTTCTTATGAACTAAAAGGCCTAGAGACATGATATTTGGTTGGTGTATATATATATATATATATATATAAAAGAGTGCTGCAGGTCCATTGGGCCTCTTGTCATCATATCAAAACTTTCGTTTCAATTGGCAATTTCCTTCTTGGAAGTATCAATGTTCTCAGCAATTGTTTAGATATTCTTGCATGTGTTTTTAAGGCTAGTGGAGAGCAATTTAGTGTGCACTCAAGAAATCTTCATGGAGCAGGAAGTGAAACAAATTTCATGTTTTGAGAGTCATTACCTTATAGCATTTTGTTCTTCATTAGCTGTATACAGTTTAACTTTGGTGTACATGGTCCGGACATACCAAAGCCACTGTTGTTCTATCCCTTTAGCAGTTATTATGTAATATGCTGCAGTGAAGGTATCATGGAGGCAGTGTAGAGCATCATCATCAATGCAAGATCAAAATCAACTTAAACATTTTTAGCCAATATTAATATCAAAAGCTCATGTTTTAACATAGGTACCTTGGTAAGAATTTTGGGTGGGTAGGTTGCGAAGAATTTCTGGTTTTACAACTACTACAGCAAGTTTTATATCACATTGTACTTGAACAATTTCAAAATATTTATGTGCATTTTGCATCTGATTGATATGGAGGATGTTGAAAAGAAAAATACTTTGCAATGGAGGTAACATGGCACCACAAAAACTCAGGTATCTCATACATGCAAGCAATGTCTCATGATGTACAGATTGAGGTGGGGGCTGCTACACTATGTCATAATTGAACACATGTTAAAAACAAAATAATTGAGACTGTAACTTTCCATAATAAATATTGTGATTAAGTGTTTACCTGATATGTTTTTATTTGTCATGGCAAAAAAGAGAGATACATTCCTGCTGTTTATTATAGATTTTATGTGCACTAAATGTTCTTTGTAATTTCAATTTGATTTGATTTTTTTTTAATATGGCAGAAATTAATGAATTTTTGGGAAAGTCAACGCTTCGGTGTTCAAATTTAGGCTCAGTTTCTCTTGACCTTCAGTTTTGATATCTAGCTTTAAGTGCTGATGTTCATCAGAGCTCATTCTAACAGTGTGTGTAATAATTCTGTAAATATTGCCACAGAACACCCCATAATTTCATTGAAATCCAGTACGTTACTGTTTGGTTTACTCAACACTATATGTTCCCTCTGGATTATGTACTCAACCATGATACCCCTCAGAGTGAATTTTACATGAGACAAATTATTTTTTCAAAATGACGAAAGACCATCAGTGTACCATATTCAAGGTTCAAGGCAAATTACATAGTGATTTATTGAGACTTTTGCTCTCAGCGTAGCTCCTGCTTGCTGTGTTTAATATGGTGTTTCGTAGATTATATATTTTTCACTGTGATTATTTTCCTAAACAGATCATTTATATATTAAATCCTCATTTTTGAAATCAGGCATAACAGAGAAAAAGTTTGACAAAAAATAAAGCTAGCTTTATTTTAAAACTGATTAGTTTGAAAAAAAAGTGATAGTAGCAAATCTCTTTCTTGTACATTAAAAAAAATTGATTCTGTTTCCTCTGAAATTATATCTTGATCGACATATGGTGGCATGTAACTACCATCTTGTCCAGACAAATGCTCATATCAACATGATTTATCTTTAAAATATCATGATAAGATGTTGACTGGTCGTGATGATTATTGCAATACATTTCTTAATCTTAAGTATCATAGCCACGATAATGCATGGAACTGACATGCGTTCAAACTCTACCCTCTCTAAAAATGAAATTACCCATTATTCAGAATATCTTAACAAGTTACATTACATGGAAGGTCCTTATCAATAGGAAGCCTCCCCAAAATTTACAACTTTAAGTCATACCTTTTTGTAACTGCTTAGCCACAGGAAAGGAAATAATTTGTGTATGGTATTTTTATTTGTCTAAATATGTCCTTTTTTTTTATTAAAACACAACATTAAAAATCCATCACAGTGTTCTTTCTATTTAACATCTTATCCAAGGACCAGCCAAGGCCGGTTACAAAGGCCATGGTCAGTGTTTCAAATTCACAAATACATTGATGAAACATCTTGACTAAAGTTACCATGGTGACCATAGATTTACAAATAATGGTAATTGACAGCCTGGTTATTGATGCTGGACTGTTAAATCTGCATATAACATTGCTACATTGAATATTATCCGTGGTGTATGTTGACTGCTGTCGAGGTTAATGAAAGAAAAGCAAGAGAGAAATCAGAATCACACATATCCTACAGTTTAGTGGAAACTATCCTGGCTGGTTTAGTTGTAGAAAAAGTTTCAGGTAATTGGTTAATGTAGCCTGTTATATCCTTGTATTCCAATTCTGGTTGGTATTTATCAGTAGGTATAATGTATAACATACCATAAATTTATTCCTTTACTGACACGACATCCTAACTATTGTGTATTTATTCCTTTACTGGCACGACATCCTAACTATTGTGTATTCCTTTACTGACACAACATCCTAACTATTGTGTATTTATTCCTTTACTGGCACGACATCCTAACTATTGTGTATTTATTCTATTGTGTATTGTGTATTCCTTTACTGGCACGACATCCTAACTATTGTGTATTCCTTTACTGGCACGACATCCTAACTATTGTGTATTTATTCCTTTACTGGCACGACATCCTAACTATTGTGTATTCCTTTACTGGCACGACATCCTAACTATTGTGTATTTATTCCTTTACTGGCACGACATCCTAACTATTGTGTATTCCTTTACTGGCATGACATCCTAACTATTGTGTATTCCTTTACTGGCACGACATCCTAACTATTGTGTATTTATTCCTTTACTGGCACGACATCCTAACTATTGTGTATTTATTCCTTTACTGGCACGACATCCTAACTATTGTGTATTCCTTTACTGGCACGACATCCTAACTATTGTGTATTTATTTCTTTACTGGCATGACATCCTAACTATTGTGTATTTATTTCTTTACTGGCACAACATCCTAACTATTGTGTATTCCTTTACTGGCATGACATCCTAACTATTGTGTATTTATTCCTTTACTGGCATGACATCCTAACTATTGTGTATTCCTTTACTGGCACGACATCCTAACTATTGTGTATTTATTTCTTTACTGGCATGACATCCTAACTATTGTGTATTTATTCCTTTACTGGCATGACATCCTAACTATTGTGTATTTATTCCTTTACTGGCATGACATCCTAACTATTGTGTATTCCTTTACTGGCATGACATCCTAACTATTGTGTATTCCTTTACTGGCACAACATCCTAACTATTGTGTATTCCTTTACTGGCATGACATCCTAACTATTGTGTATTCCTTTACTGGCATGACATCCTAACTATTGTGTATTCCTTTACTGGCACGACATCCTAACTATTGTGTATTTATTCCTTTACTGGCACGACATCCTAACTATTGTGTATTTATTCCTTTACTGACACCACATCCTAACTATTGTGTATTCCTTTACTGACACGACATCCTAACTATTGTGTATTTATTTCTTTACTGGCATGACATCCTAACTATTGTGTATTTATTCCTTTACTGGCATGACATCCTAACTATTGTGTATTTATTCCTTTACTGGCACGACATCCTAACTATTGTGTATTCCTTTACTGACATGACATCCTAACTATTGTGTATTTATTCCTTTACTGACACGACATCCTAACTATTGTGTATTCCTTTACTGGCATGACATCCAAAGGGTAACATCTTTGATCCCCAAGTCACCTTAAAATTAGATCAATATCTTTTTTACATGCAAATTTTGTTCATCCTTTCAAGGATGCTACCAGCCAATTATCATGTCTCTAGACTTTTCGGTATTACAGAAGTATTATCAATGTTTTGAAGTATTTGACCCCAGTGGCCTTGAAATAAGGTCAATGTAATTTTATTGGTAAACTTTATTGGTTCCTTAAAAAGAAGCTACTAGTCTTATATCCTGTCTCAAAGCTTTTTGGTATGACATATATGACCCCTGTGACCATAAAAGTGGGTCAAGGTCATTTTTATTCGCAACCTTTGTTCTGCTTCTTCCGAGAAAGCTTCCAATCCAATATCATGTCTCTAGACCTTTTGGTATATTTCAGAGGTCATTTGAAGTATTGACATATTTGACAATAGTGACTGTGAAAGTAAGTCAAATTCAAGAACCTACAGGAGCCAGATATGACTATATGCCTTTCAGTTCATTAGATATTGTTGAAAGCAAAGTTGACGGACATGACTCAAAAGCTAGATGTTGGTTGCTGCACAAAAGTGTAAGCTCAGCAACCCTTCGGGCATGTAATCTATTAGACTACAAACATTTGAATGAAAATCATGCACGAGAGAATCTTTTATGTGTATCTTTATTTAATCCAAGTTAGTCACTAAATTTGAAAAGAACAAATTCAGTAACAGCACACAAACAGAGGTCAATGCAAACAAACACAATTGATAAACAAAAGCCAGCTTAAAGCTTATATTGCAACAAGACTAAAATTTCTGTTTCATAAATACATGATTCTAATTAAATGATTTCACCCATTCACAGTTTGGGGTATTACACAACACTTTTCTCACCTTTTGTCAGAAACCTTTTAATAAAGCAACACAAGTATTCTTTCTTTCATTCACAGAATGTGGTGAACATTTCTACTCAAGGGAGATAACTTTGAGAGTGGCAGTAGTCACATACTTGCCCCAACTGTACACAAAATGAGCCATCCCATTCTTTCAGAAAAAAAGCTCATTAAAAAGGAAACCATTTTGAATAACTGATTTCTGGGCAAATAAAGACAATATGAAAATACTACTGCAAAAAATCTTATCTTTTAATACTGAGCATGATTACTATTCCAGCCCTAAAAAGCACTCAAAGTTCAAAACTAACACATCATTTTATGCCTAAATGTGAAAACATACAAACCTGTACTAGGTTTGGACAAAAGATTAACACTTATATTTCTGTAGCAAAGGTTAATCTAACAAAGACTGTCAATATTTAAAAATAAGTCGCAGGAAACACAGTACATTTGATATTAAAGCCATCAAATGACAATGCCATTGTCATTGCTATACCAAACAGATCATCTTCTTGGTAAAAAAATTCTACTCAAGGGAGATAACTTTCGGAGTCCACTAACAATGTAAACATTGTTACTTTTAACAGTTCATGTAAATACAGGTTTACTTAATATGTTATTGAAGATATATAAGTGCTATCACCAAATGCCGCATTATATCATAATCTCATGTTTTACAGAAACCTGACAAGTGAGCTCATATTTCCCTATCACAGCCGTCTTTATAGAACTTGCCTTACAAACTTCAATATTTCAAATTTAAGAACCTACAATAATAACGTTTATATATATATTTAAAACGTCTAAAGAATGGGATGAATATAGAGAAAAAAAATCATCTATCTCAAAAGTTTTCCTAAATTATCCAAAAATCAAAATTTATTAGTTTTTAGTGTTATAAATGTGAAGAATCTTTTCCTTGGTCCATGAGTATGATAAAGGATTCTTGTGTATGTGTATCATCAACATATTTTTTGACCGCTATGCGGCCGTCATCTGGATGATTGTAACAAACAAAAACTCATCAAACTACTGTAACAATTTGCCGTTAACAAAACATGACTTCATAATGACCAAACATATATAGTGACAAGTGTACCTAGTTTGACCAATGACAGACATCCAATGCCAACTGATAACCAATGAAAAGAAGTCTTCTTGGTGTTTATATTCCACTCTACATAAACATGACATCATGACTGAATTAATATAAACAAGTTATAACTTTGTTGCTGTAAATAATGAATTTGTCATAAAAATTTTCAGCCAAAAGGAAGGAAGATCCATACAACAGAAATATCAACACCATTTCAAATAACACGCATGATAAAATTTGGAGAAGTTAATTATAAAGGAGAAATTTATAGAACTATTTAGAATGTACCTCTCATCTAACATCCCATTCACAAAGTCAGTTTCATGAATACTGTTCCTGTTTGAACATTCAATCAACACTGAAGTTTTACATGATATCAGTCAAGCTTGAATGATTCATTAATGTTAACATACAGGAAGGTTTTAATTACGATGGTCACACCTCAGTGATCTGTCGATATTTGCATACAGGGCAGTTTGAATAAACATTGGTGACACATCAATGACCTCAAAATTTTTGTCATACATATATATAGGAGGAAAGGTGAAGTGATATGATTCCTAGTTTATAAACTAGTTTCCTTCATTGACTAGAATACTGAATTCTCATATAAAGAAACAAATGGATTTAGAGCACGACCTGTGCTAAACATACTGACTGAACAAGTTAAGAACTATCAAAACTTGTTTTCAAACTTTAGTTATAAACTTTGTTGTACTGTACTACAAATAATTCATACGGAGTAAAAAGTTGTTCAACCAATGAATTTGTGCATCAAGATACACAACTCACGTATCTATATATGAATATAGTTTTTTTTTCAAATCTATTCATTTGAGTTCAATTTGAGCATTTGTGAAGCATGCTCTCTGTTTATATCACAGACAAATATCGATTGAAGTTAAACAGAAAAATAAAATGGAACCAAATTTATACCTTCATACGACCTTGACCAAAAGGCAAGGATTTCCAACAGAGCAATAGAAGACGTCCATTAATTTGATTTCTCCAGCTTCCACAGATAGCCTAAGAGTTGACAGAGATACATATGATATATTATAATTACCTGTGTTGTACCAGCATAGATACTTTTTATTTACATCAAAGTGATAATTGTGAAAAGATGTACAGTATATACATTTGTACATTATTTCATATATATTATTTTACGCGATCTGCATTGATTTAACAATTACCAAATTTTTATAATTTTTTTTAAACAAATCTGTCAACTTTTTAAAATGTTTAAAAATAAAATAATCTCTTTTATACGTATTTGAGGTAAAATTTGAACATGTGACACACAAGGGGAGCTAACAACAAGAGGAAGCACCACTACTTTATATATGTTTTTTTCTTTGGGCGCTTTCGCGTAAGCTGTAGAAATGGTTGGACAGGTTGGCCCGTAAAGTACATATCGGGACCGATATTTGGCACGTGCAGTTTGAGGGGTCCAGCCGTACCTGTCCAGGGAGCATTGTGCTATGGAGTGAAATGGAGGGTATCTTAATGTAAGTTAATTGATTTATGCTTGACTGGAAATTGCGAAACTGTGAATTTTGAGCTTTACATATAACAGGTCCGACATTCGGTACATGTGAACCATTTCAATCAGGTTACGTTGATATGGCCTATGTAAGAATGTGACTGAGTGTAGATACATTAACAGTGCATGACCATCAAGTAATTATACAGGTTTTAGAAGTACAACAAGTTTGATAGTGCTAGTTTAGAATCCATAGAATGTCAATGTGGACATTTTTAACAGTGCTAAGTTTTGTATACAAAGATGAAATGAACTTCAATGTGTCTTCCTAATTCAATGAAGACAACCATAACAGCTCTGGTTTTCTCAGTCAAAAGGCTGATGTTTCAATTCAAACTATTCATGATTAAAATTCCCACATAGCAAAAAGTTTGGAAATTTGACCTGATCAGGTACGAATGATCATTAGTATTGTTAGGGTTTATCTCCCACAGCTAGGGAGGCAGAGTCTCAGTGGCTACCTCATTGAACAATATACAGAAGGTCTGCCACCTGCCACCTTCAGCAATCAGAGTAAAGTGTCTTGACTTGAGACACAATAACTTGAGCACAGACTGCTCCTGAGAAAGTAACACCACCACAGGTATGGTGCATTGAACCACACACCTGAGATCTTCACCCAAGGTTATGTAGGCCAATATAACTAACATCTGGAAACTATTAGAAATAGCAATATACATGAATTGTATTCTGAAATATGCCCAAAGTGCCAACATAATATAAAGAAGGATGGTCTTATTACCAGACATGGGCTTATTCCTATATAGATACTGCATAATATATGTCCGATGTCCTTGCTTTGGTAACTCCACAAACAAATTCATCTTTTTAATTTCTGAAAATGTCTGTCATCATAAAATGTATCCAACACATTAATTTTTTAAAAGGTTGTCATCTCATAATAACGAAGTATCACACTTATTATAAATAAGAGTTATCCAGCTGAAGTCATGCTGTACATTCCTATGACTTGTTATGCATTGAAACGTTGTCGTTGAATAATTTATAATTCATAGTTACACAATGAACATACATACTTCTGTCTCTTATTCAAGTAAACCTCACATATTGACCACGATGAAACACATTCTCATAACATAAGTTCATGTGTTCATGTGAAATCTCACAGCCTCACATTTGATGTAGAGCAATGATAATTATGGACAATGTCCGGTTTAAGTAATAATATTTACATAGAATCTACAATGCTGTCTGAGTGGTCTTAATATCCATCTGCAATATCCAAGGGTTTTGCTTACAATATACTTATCTTTTTTGTATCATTGAATTAAAAGTCAATGTAAAAAAGAAAACCGTATGTGCTATATAAGTTTTGCTAGTTTGTGTGATTTATTGTGAACAACCTGGGTCATGCTGAAGGGGTCTCCTTGTAGTAGCTGGTCACTACCTCTCCGAACAACATATGGGAGGCCCATTGCATGCCATCCAGAGAAATTAGGGTAAAGTGTCTTGCTTCTGAACACAAACGCTTCAGCACAGAATAGTCAGTTTATCAGCTACCCGAGAAACATGAACCATCATGGGTAGGAATTGTCGAACCACACATCTCAGACAGTATAGCTGTCAGTCTACAGTGTATAGAGCTAAATGTTATATTGCCTTTAATTTTGTCCTGACATAAACCAATGTTGAACAGAAGGTAAGGTATATAGAGAGGAAAACCCTTGGATATAGAAAACGTATTTAATATCATATATTTAGCTTATACTGATGTTTCTAACCTCAAAGTTCACTAGACTTCAATCATCTTAAATAGCAAAGAATGCCACTTTTACAATGTCTAACCCAAGAAGCCATGTGATAAATTGTCTTTGAATTCAGCCAATCATTCACAATTGCCAACCCAAACAGGAATGATTTTCAGAACAGCCATGCACTCAACTGTCTTTGGATTCAGTCAGTCAAATGTCTTTGGATTTCCTCTAGTTAGGGCTGGTTTTCATGACGATAGCTGATTATCTCTAAATGGACCATGGTGTATCAAATGTTGAGAGTACCACTTTAGTGGAGGACGCTACTCACATCCCAGATCTGTTGAAAACAAGGTTTGAAAATCAACATTGCTTTAGATGAAATATGCTGAAGATAGTCAAATGTAGATATTGAACAAGAGACAAAGCAGCCATGAATTCACCTGAGATATACAATATTAGATAGAAATGTTGTAGAAATATATATGTTGCTTTCAAAAGAAATTCTAACATTATTGAGAGTAAGAATTGAAGATGTGATTTAAGTCACTGGAGCTCACCCACGGTCAATATAAGCTTATAATTAAACCGTCATCCTTTAATAATAATAATTAAAATAAGCTTGCAATATTCTCAATGCAGGGAAAAGGGTTATTTTTCTACTTTGAATGAAATCTTACTAAGATCCAGATTGTTGTTTTGGTGAGGAGTAGGTAACTGTAACAAGTGTTTCCTATTTCTTGACAGTAAAGTTGGAGCTCAATCCTACTGATGAAACTTGAGAAGTTTGAAATGTCTAAAGTTTATGCAGATAGCACAAGGCAGAGGATGAGGGACAAAGCATGATGGCTATCGATTACCAGGGCCCTTTAGGTCCTATATATACTATAGTAAACTTAACTCCTAAGGGAAATGTTAGACCCTTGGGTTATAAAATTCAAAATTTTGGCAAAGCACCTTCAGACACTTTCACCCATGAAAAGTTGATTCTACCATATCTTGGTGTTGAGAAGATGATTTTTGAAATCTGAATCAATTTGACCCCTTTTTGTCCCACCCACCAGCCAGAATCAGCACTATCGTTGACCCCTTTTTGCCCCGCCCACCAGCCAGAATCAATACTATCACTGACCCCTTTTTACCCCGCCCACGAGCCAGAATCAACACTATCATTGACCCCTTTTTGCCTGGCCCACCAGCCACAATCAACACTATCACTGACCCCTTTTTGCCCCGCCCACCAGCCAGAATCAACACTATATACCCCTGATAAACTCTGATCCAATATTTACTGTATAGCTTTCAAATCATTCAATATTTAACTGCTTAAAACATTCTCATGTACAGCTGCCAATATAAAATGCAACATAGTGTAAACACAAAGGAAACTTGTTCATTACAGCTGTAACTGTTCAGAACTGACTCATAGATTTCTCGATTCTTTCAAATGTCCTATGTTCAAAACTCTTTTGCAGGGGAGAGAACTCTGTTGTGTACTTACTTTAACAACCTTATCCTTTCCTACTGTGAGAAGACGCTTGCGATGCTCTTCCAAGTGCATGTAAACTATACAGTGTTTGCTTTCATGGAATGTAGCTAAGGGAGCCCGCCTAAAATAAAGAAATATATGTAATAACTGAGGGATAAAATGGAGATGTAAATGAATAGAGAAAAAATATTTCTACCTCCCTAAGAGGAATCGAACCTTGGTCGCTGGTGTGATAATACATAGCTCTATCAACTAAGAAGCATGCTCTATCAGTTGAGTTACAGACATTTAACATTGACCTGCTCTTTTGATATTGCTTACAGAAAAACATCCATAAAGTAACGTAAATTCCTAATACTTCCTCGCTCTGTGGCTTCGTGTGATTGAGACTAATTGTACACTGGTATACTCACTCCTCATCTGTGATACTTTCATGGCAATGATCACATACTCTGACTTCATACTCAAACCCCATTGGAGGGTAAGTGGATTTTTTACTGCTACATTTGGCACATATTGCTTTTCCGCACTTCCTACAGTGATGCTAAAAACAGAACAAACAAATCTTAATCTTGTATTTGCACTAAAACAATAACAGAAGAAATGAAATTTATCATTAAGGCTTCAGTACAATTTCTTAAGTGAGCCATTTTTTCATCTGACAGTTTACATAAATGCCTTTCATGAGCTCTTAAACCTTAACCTAAAAAGTTTTAGTTTTTTTTCCTAAATAAACTGTTGAAAAGTTGCAACAGTGGACTATGTAATTCTAGGCACCTAGAACTAACATGTAACTTTGAGCTCTCCACATCTAATCTGTACTTGTGTTGCCTAACATCTTTTTTAACAAAACTGTATGAAAGTTTTGAAACAAGAAGAATTACACTTTCCTAAATATAAACAAAATTTTAAAGTTGCAATTTTCAAAAAAAATTCCAAATACATGTAACTACAACTTCAATGATTAAATTTTTTTTTTGTGCAACTATATTCTGTTACCATACCTGTCTGTTATCTATTGTTTCAGGTAAATTATGTTACCATACCTGTCTGTTATCTATTGTTTCAGGTAAATTATGTTACCATACCTGTCTGTTATCTATTGTTTCAGGTAAATTCTGTTACCATACCTGTCTGTTATCTATTGTTTCAGGTAAATTCTGTTACCATACCTGTCTGTTATCTATTGTTTCAGGTAAATTCTGTTACCATACCTGTCTGTTATCTATTGTTTCAGGTAAATTATGTTACCATACCTGTCTGTTATCTATTGTTTCAGGTAAATTCTGTTACCATACCTGTCTGTTATCTATTGTTTCAGGTAAATTCTGTTACCATACCTGTCTGTTATCTATTGTTTCAGGTAAATTCTGTTACCATACCTGTCTGTTATCTATTGTTTCAGGTAAATTATGTTACCATACCTGTCTGTTATCTATTGTTTCAGGTAAATTCTGTTACCATACCTGTCTGATCTCTATTGTTTCAGGTAAATTCTGTTACCATACCTGTCTGATCTCTATTGTTTCAGGTAAATTCTGTTATCTTACCTGTCTTATACCTATTGTTTCAGGTAAATTCTGTTATCTTATCTGTCTTATACCTATTGTTTCAGGTAAATTATGTTATCTTACCTGTCTTATACCTATTGTTTCAGGTAAATTCTGTTATCTTATCTGTCTTATACCTATTGTTTCAGGTGAATTCTGTTATCTTACCTGTCTTATACCTATTGTTGTGGGTAAATTCTGTTACCTTATCTGTCTTATACCTATTGTTTCAGGTAAATTCTGTTATCTTATCTGTCTTATACCTATTGTTTCAGGTAAATTATGTTATCTTACCTGTCTTATACCTATTGTTTCAGGTAAATTCTGTTATCTTATCTGTCTTATACCTATTGTTTCAGGTGAATTCTGTTATCTTACCTGTCTTATACCTATTGTTGTGGGTAAATTCTGTTACCTTACCTGTCTTATACCTATTGTTCGTTCCTCCCACATCTTCTTGACGTTCCAGAAAAAAGGTGCTTTACATTTTTCACAGCTGTCATTCTCTGTCCAAGAAGGAGTCTGGTGAAAGCAGATATAAATATGAGATGAAAATGAATTCAGTAATTAGAAATATCGGACCAGATTAAAATTGTAATCACCCCATTAAAAACAAAATTAACACTGACAGGTAATACATAAGTCGTGCCTCAGTGATTTTTCATTGCAGGCGAATTGAAAATCTGGTATAATCTACTGATATGTTGCTCACATGTAATGTTGATTCAATTTTTGAAAGTTTGTTTCCTATGATTTTGATGATATCTTTTTACAGCTGATAGAAAATAGACATGTATCAGAAGGTGACGGTTGATAAGACTATCACAGACAAGTTTTGCTGGAGATTTTTATGCTCTTTGTACACTGAGTGGGTATGTAGCTAATAACCTGGCTCTCATTTTGAGAACAACTGAGCAAGTCTTATTTCCACTGCTGTTAATGTAGTAAATGAAACAAGACTTTTATCCTTAAAGAACAACTAGTTCTGTAATTTTGTAAATTTTCCAATGGTCTCAATTCTTTGTTGGTATTTGCTCTTGTTTAATCTGAATTCGGAGTTCAGACCTATACATTGTGTGAACACATCAATATTGATGCTTTTTTTTCACTCTAAATACTTATTCTATGTATCAAGGTCTGAAGAATTCACTTACCAGTAGATTCATCTTTGTACAAAAATTGATCCATGAAATTGGCATGTAGGAACAATGGGTCTCTATTTATCAAATATAATGAACAAAAGTGACACAACACCTTGTATAATTACCTCTATTCGTTTCACATCCATACTCCAAATACCAAGCACCATATCATCTCCACCAGATATCAACTGTTTACAACCTGTCGAGTAAGCTAATGCTGCTACTTTGTCACTGAAAAACAACAAATAAATAAATAAATAAATTCTCTGACAGCAAGTTACCAAATAAATTTTTATGTTTACCAATCATTGTCTTATTGATGATAATATCTTCACAAAAACTTCTGGTTTATTGTTTGAAGATTTATGGCCATCATTTTAGGAAATTTTGATAAATTAGTCAGATTACTCCTTTTTCGTGTTTCTTTATTTCTTTTTGTCATCATAGTATTTCCAATAAAACTACAAAATCAGACCTGTGTATTCAGATGTCTTGTTCACATGTAATATACTTACACAAAAGGTCACATAACACAGGTTAATCATGTGTGTAAGCCTGTGGTTACTTTCATTTTTGGTCAGGTATACATGTCTTGTAGGCCATGAATGGGCCCTGAATAGGCATACTACTGTTAGGTACATATTTTTAGAAAGGTATTGACCTAACGTTGTCAAAGGAGATGGGTTAACGAAAATTGACATAAAGGAGATGAGTTAACGGAAACTGACAGAAACATATCTCAACCAGTGTCTAATAACACAGGCCAATATGTTTCATTACAACAAAACATTAGATCTGACTTCTTTCCATGTAATCAACATCTACCATCACTTGTCTAGAAATTTTAACCTAGAATCAATCTTATTCATATTGAACCTAATACATAGGACTTTTCTTGATCAAATATATCATTCATTTGGATTATCATTGTATACATAACTTTTCTTGATCAAATATATAAAATTGTCTTTTACATTCAAGTGTTTCTTGTCATTCAGAAGCATCTAATGCTTCAGCTAATGAAAAACTTACTGGTGACCTTGAAGTTCAAAGGCTGTGCCCTGCCGACCTCCTATATCCCACACAATCACTGACTGGTCAAAACTTCCGGAGAATAGAAGGCTTTTCTCAGCATCCCAGGCCAGCGATCGTACACTTCCTGTAAATGGTTTACAATATATACAGTTGATATCCTACAGGAGATTTAGCCTACTGCTTGACATGATTATTGCTGTCATATCCCAAGCTGAAACCTAATATTATTCTAAATGTATTTTTGCCATAAAGTGGAACTTTAAGTTAATCAAACTTCTTTCAAAACAGAAGAGACTAAGTGAAGTCATTTAGATGACAGAATCTTACTACTAAGAGCTTGCATAAGAACTTGTGACCTCAAATATGATGGGAAATAATATATATTGCACTTACTAGTGGGTCACAAATATATTAATTTGTTGGTGGTTCAGTATGAACAACATAAACTATCATAAGCCTAAACTGTGTAATGATACCCTTTGAATCCCCATCTAGTTTGAGATACCACCCTTGACTAACATAAGACAAATAGCCGACACACAATAAATGAGGCAGGCCAACATTAATCTTTGTTGTATATTGATTTCTGGCTGTTCTGTTAGATGTACATTAAACCTGGCTGTTCTGTTTGATGTACATTAAACCTGGCTGGTCTGTTTGATGTACATTAAACCTGGCTGTTCTGTTTGATGTACATTAAACCCGACTGTTCTGTTTGATGTACATTAAACCTGGCTGGTCTGTTTGATGTACATTAAACCTGGCTGTTCTGTTAGATGTACATTAAACCCGGCTGTTCTGTTAGAAGTACGTTAAACCTGGCTGTTCTGTTTGATGTACATTAAACCTGGCTGGTCTGTTTGATGTACATTAAACCTGGCTGGTCTGTTTGATGTACATTAAACCCGACTGTTCTGTTTGATGTACATTAAACCTGGCTGGTCTGTTTGATGTACATTAAACCTGGCTGTTCTGTTAGATGTACATTGAACCTGGCTGTTCTGTTTGATGTACATTAAACCTGGCTGTTCTGTTAGATGTACATTAAACCTGGCTGGTCTGTTTGATGTACATTAAACCTGGCTGTTCTGTTTGATGTACATTAAACCTGGCTGGTCTGTTTGATGTACATTTAACCTGGCTGTTCTGTTTAATGTACATTAAACCTGGCTGTTCTGTTTGATGTACATTAAACCTGGCTGTTCTGTTTGATGTACATTAAACCTGGCTGGTCTGTTTGATGTACATTAAACCTGGCTGTTCAGTTTGATGTACATTAAACCTGGCTGTTCTGTTTGATGTACATTAAACCTGGCTGTTCTGTTAGATGTACATTAAACCCGGCTGTTCTGTTAGAAGTACATTAAACCTGGCTGTTCTGTTAGAAGTACATTAAACCTGGCTGTTCTGTTAGAAGTACATTAAACCTGGCTGTTCTGTTTGATGTACATTAAACCTGGCTGTTCTGTTAGATGTACATTAAACCCGGCTGTTCTGTTAGAAGTACGTTAAACCTGGCTGTTCTGTTTGATGTACATTAAACCTGGCTGTTCTGTTTGATGTACGTTAAACCTGGCTGGTCTGTTTGATGTACTTTAAACCAGGCTGTTCTGATTGTTGAAACATCCATTTCAGTTCAAAACTTCCAAATCAAAATGAAGTAACTAGATTGGTGATATTGTTCCAAAATTAGTTATTACAAACATATGACATGCATATTTTGTTTGGAAAATAAAACTTTTCTGTGATAAGCCCATGACTGGTAATAATTTCAATGGCATAAAAACAATTTTATTAGAGTACAAAAATTGTTTTGGAATGTTTTTTGGGTAGGCCCAGAGCACCATTTCTGCAATTTTCATGAGTCCAGATACAAACAGATATTGAGGGAGTCCCACAGGAAAACTCCAAGACTCAAATATTTGCATCCCAAAAATCATTGTAACGCTAGACAATGTTGTATCATTGTTCAGTAATAAGCCTGCAACAATTATGTATTTACATTGATTCACACTGGGCTTATTACAGGACAAAAACAGAAAGATTCTGTTTCCATGGTGATAATCAATAGAGAATTAATGATATCTTAAGTCCATATTAAACAGGCAACGTTTATGTCTGGTATGATAGATTTACTAAATTGTTGCTCACCAGAATGACCCTTCAGTGTAACAATCAATTCAAAATTGGTGTTACTAATCTTTAATACGGAAATCTGACCAGAGTAATCCCCTACAAAAGCATATTTTGACTGTTCATCAAATCTTTAGAGGGTTAAGGATAAGATCACAGTAATATTGATGGTCTACAAAAGTTATAGTAAAGAAATAAATCAACTTTATGATGGCTGACATAGGTTATAGTAAAGAAATAAATCAACTTGATGATGGCTGACATAAGTTATGGTAAAGAAATAAATCAACTTGATGATGGCTGACATAAGTTATGGTAAAGAAATAAATCAACTTGATGATGGCTGACATAAGTTATAGTAAAGAAATAAATCAACTTGATGAAGGCTGACATAAGTTATAGTAAAGAAATAAATCAACTTTATGAAGGCTGACATAAGTTATAGTAAAGAAATAAATCAACTTGATGAAGGCTGACATAAGTTATAGTAAAGAAATAAATCAACTTTATGATGGGGTGCGTTAGGAACAGTAGCGAAATAAATCAACTTCAGGACAGGTATCATCAGATAACACATGAATGGACATGAAGTAACAATAAATATATACATTGAAAATGATTCAATAATGCATGAAATACCAAGAAAGAGTCCTAGAAGGATGAAACAGCTGCATGATGTAGCATTACTGACAAGTCCTAGAAGGATGAAACAGCTGTATGATGTAGCATCACTGACAAGTCCTAGAAGGATGAAACAGCTGTATGATGTAGCATCACTGACAAGTCCTAGAAGGATGTAACAGCTGTATGATGTAGCATCACTGACAAGTCCTAGAAGTATGTAACAGCTGTATGATGTAGCATCACTGACAAGTCCTAGAAGGACGAAACAGCTGTATGATGTAGCATCACTGACAAGTCCTAGAAGGATGTAACAGCTGTATGATGTAGCATCACTGACAAGTCCTAGAAGGATGAAACAGCTGTATGATGTAGCATCACTGACAAGTCCTAGAAGGATGTAACAGCTGTATGATGTAACATCACTGACAAGTCCTAGAAGGATGTAACAGCTGTCTGATGTAGCATCACTGACAAGTCCTAGAAGGATGTAACAGCTGTATGATGTAACATCACTGACAAGTCCTAGAAGGATGTAACAGCTGTATGATGTAGCATCACTGACAAGTCCTAGAAGGATGTAACAGCTGTCTGATGTAGCATCACTGACAAGTCCTAGAAGGATGTAACAGCTGTATGATGTAGCATCACTGACAAGTCCTAGAAGGATGTAACAGCTGTATGATGTAGCATCACTGACAAGTCCTAGAAGGATGTAACAGCTGTATGATGTAGCATCACTGACAAGTCCTAGAAGGATGTAACAGCTGTATGATGTAGCATCACTGACAAGTCCTAGAAGGATGTAACAGCTGTATGATGTAGCATCACTGACAAGTCCTAGAAGGATGTAACAGCTGTATGATGTAGCATCACTGACAAGTCCTAGAAGGATGTAACAGCTGTATGATGTAGATTTTTTCATTGTTTGCTCTTCTGTATCTTACCTAATTTTTTCAAATGATGCTATTCACTTGTGTGTCTACCATACAATCTCTCAGGGACATTAAGCAGTTTTAGAGAATGTTTGAAGTAAAGTGGGAAGAAAAAGAACTTTAAATCAAAAAAAAATTTTAATTATCAGAGATACTGACACAAATGTAATGTAAGCTATGTAAACAGACTCATTGTTTGTGCTGTGTGATCTTGAATTTTTAACTTCTATTTCTATATTGTATAGAAGTTTGAACTAACACTGAAGACAACTTCTGTCCTTAAATCATAATAAAGGATACTCAAGGCAGAGACACCAGGCATTCGCTAGGTAGCCACCCAATCTCCGACCCGTCTCCGAACAGTGCCACTGGAAGTATTTGTCACGGCCACAGCTCAATACCCACTCACAGCTCACAGAAAACTTCACACCATGTATACGACTCTGGTGTGCTGCAAGTCAAAAGGACATAAATGAAAGTTCATCTTGCATTACGTAAAGATCAGTTTAATTTCTGTAACAAAACCTCCTCAAATAAAGGGTTAAATAAATTGATCTCTCACACATGCCCATAATAGGTTCACTTCCATTTGTCAAAATTACTTGGTACATAAAACTTGCTGAACTAGATTCATTTTGGAAATTCTTTCATTCCATCAGATTACCTCACTTTACAGATATAATGCACAAGAATGACAACTGTGTAATCCTCCATTAATATTATTTTATCCTATGTGAATGCAGTTATGCCTCATATTTAAATCTGATAACGACATCATACCTAGATAGTCTCGTGTATGTGTTGTCTTGTTGAAATCTTCAGCCATCAGGAACTCCTACGTAGATGAAATGATATGAAGCAGAATAAATCATTCTTACATATGACACAGAAAAAATGAAAAGTTCCTAATTCACTTCCAACATTCTGTCAATATATTACTTTTCTGATAAAGTGTCATCAACTTTAAAACCTAAAACTTTTGTAGACAAGCTTTTTTTGTTTGGGGTTAATTTTTTTCTTCAGCAAAAAAGAAAGAAAGAAAAGAGGGAGGGAGGAAGGAAGGAAGGAAGATTTCATGAGTTGCCATGAGGACAGCAGTCTTCAGTAGACCATATTCTAAGGATTTCTGGTGTCCTCTTAAACAGATGACATCAGAGAAACAATCCCTTGTGTGCAGGAGGCCTCACAATTAGCTGCCTCTTATGGATATTGGTCATCACAAACATGTTTTTCCTGGCACCAGACACCAGACATCAGGCTTTTTATTCAATATATCCAACAATACATATGTTTGATGAGTTTACAGCTTATGTTAATTCTTTTCCCAAACAGACTGTCAGTAGACAGTCGAGTGTCGTAGCCAGAAAAAAAATTGGGATATGTGATCAAAATCTTATGTTGTACAATAATTAATGAATTCAATGAATATAATATACTACAAAAAAACTGTTTCATTGACTGAGACTCTATATAAGAAAAAATATTTTTCAATATTACCGTTATTGTTCCATTGTCCAACCCTATAAATAACCTCCTGGTTTCACCATTGTAAGCAAGAGAAGATGCTGCAGCTGAAAAAAAAAAAATAAAAATCATGTCACTTTGATACAAGATCTTTTCTTTAAGGAAATATAATCAAGTTCATATTAAAAAAGTACGAAATATTTTAGCTGAATGACAAGGCTTACTTTTAATTTGGAATACTCTATAGTTTTAATTTAAAATATCTTCATATCAATGAGTGACCATAAGGACTACTGAAATATAGCAAATGAGCATTATTAGGTTGACCATTGTTAGTTTATGTAGCAGGATGGAATCTGAATTAGGCAGATGTTTAAGAGAGATCACAATAAAACTGGTAGAGTAAAATTTAATGTAAATATTTCCATATCTACATAATATCTTTTAGTGCATTTTCCTAAAACAACTGCCTTGTATATATATAATTAAAGAAATTAATCATGTTCACCTTTATTAGTATTATACAGTGTATACAAGGTACATGTATACATACATAAGTAAAAAATGTTGAAAATCTTGACAATTTCTCATTAAATATTCACTTAATAGAAGTAAGTACATCTTCTGCTCACATATATTTTACAAACAACACAGATATATTTCAGTAAATTAACCAGAAAGAAATTCTATGTACAGTTAAAATGACACACAATACTATCATAATATTCTATGTACAGTTAAAATGACACACAATACTATCATAATATTCTATGTACAGTTAAAATGACACACAATACTATTATAATATTCTATGTACAGTTAAAATAACACACAAAACTATTATAATAAGAATGATCTATTTCTTCATTTCTAAATCAAATAGTTATCAGTGCAGACCGAGACCTTAAGTCAGAGAAAATATATGGAGGATATTTTACAGTGTCTTCAGTAATAATAAATAAATTTTACAAGTGTGTCTAATACTCTATTATCTTTCACAAGTATGCAGTAATTGTTATTACTTGAGACACCATTAAATATTCTATCTATTACATTTTCACAAGCAAAGAGTCAAATTACTTGAAAATTTAGAACAAATATAAAAGAAAGCTGACCAGCCTTTTTGCTGACACTACTCACTCATTATAACTTCGCAGTAGGCAACAAAATACTATTATTTTTATTTACACATAGAAAATGTTATTTTTTCATGTCACTAACAGAAAAAATTTGTTGTAAAACGTTCAGAGAGTTTAACCTTTGCTGCTGAAAATATGGTGGCAGCCTACAGCTGTTGATGACACATATCCTCTTCAAATGTCTCACGTGTTAGCTCCACATTTATGATATTTCGTGGGACATTCTGTTTGATGTCTGATAAGGTAATTTGTGTTGCATTTTCTTCATGTAATTGAATGTTGTGTTACAAGTATTTCGCTTGATGATTTGTCAATTTTGTAAGATGATTTGTGTTCTCTCTTTTCATTGGTGTAGATGATGAATATAGATTAATCAAAGCGTTATTTTTATTAATCTATATTCATCATCTATTTTTCACTGGAAAAAATGTAATAAACAATATGCAATGAATATGTAGCATTTACAACTGTCTTATTATTGCATTTATTACTTACAAGGCATGGTATGACAAATGCTCGGCCAATACTGACCAGTGTCTCTTTTTAGCCAAACTCTCAGTGTCCTGGAAGGCAAAAAATAATTTACAGCTAAAAAGTAGATTATTTGAGCTTCATTTACCAATTCTAAACAGAATTTCATTAATGAAATTCCCAGAGTGACAACAACATGGTGCAATCCTCCCCATTTCAGGTTTTATTTTCAGAGTAGCTTGTTGACATGTTTTGAATTCAAGCAATCCGTCATCAGAACAACAATAACTTATTATTATGTCAGTAAAAACAAACATAGAATGATGACATCATTAACATTGAGTAGATGGAATGGTGTGATCATTTACACTGCCGGAATGGAAGTAGACAACTTCATTGGGATTATACAGGTATGAATATACATGTATTAAGGATAGAGATTTAAAACATGTATAGTTAAGAACGCTATTAGAAATATTAAACCTGTAGAATATCGCCTGTTGTTTTTTGTAAAACATAGATAATCAGAGCAACAATGAAATAATAGAAAGGGACAGGTGTTGAGCCCTGCATGGTTTTAGAGTTTGGGGTATCATTAATGAATATCATTAAGTATAAATAAGGTTGACAAGAGAGACAGACAGTTTCTGTATATACCAATAAATTACATCTGGCATTTATATGATTATGATTAGTAATGTCTTCATTGATCTGTGTTTTTTCTTCTTTCTTTTTACATGTTACAACCTTAAAGATCATAGTCTGTAGTACATTCAATATATCATCAGTGTATTGCCAGACAAAGCTTCTATCAGTACTTATTCATTAGCTTCAATACATGTATCTTTGGATATTTTATATAATATATCAGAAAGTTATACAATCTTCAGGCTGTTCATGCAGAGACATTAATATATTTCAGAAGTGACAGAAATCTTCAAAAGTATTTGAAGGTTTATATCACACGTAACAAACAGGTGTCTATACTCTTGAGCCCATGAGTCAAAGCTAGTTAAGAAGAGTAGAAAACTCCATGGCCTTCTGCACTACAAGCCCTACATATGATTTGATTTTCTTGCGATTTAAATAACAATTTTGTCAGATTTTCATTATTGCTTCTAATATTCAGAGCCAGAACAGTACCAACGATAATCCAAAACGTGTGCTAGTTCTTACGAAATCCGAAACAGTCACTCGAGACTTTTCAAGTCATTGATCATTTGTACAGATCGGTAACACAGATAATAGACATCCAGCTATTTGTCTAAGCGAAGGGCTAAACGTACTGTGTGTTTAAAACAATGGCTACTTAACGTTCTTTAGCTGACATTGATTAAAATACAAAAAAAGGGAACCGGAGTAGGCGTTATCAGGGATTCAGCTGCTAGTAACTTCCGGGATGCAGACAAAAAATAATATCGAGATGGGATACAAACTTGTCATCGCTGACCGTGATAACACCGTCTTCTCTAGGAATTATTACAGCCATATTAACGTCATCGTTAAATCCTTCTAATTTACTCAGCAGAACGGGCTTTCTCACGTTTCCTTGTTTATTCACAGGCACTGGCTTTATTTCGGCTGCCATCTTGTTATCATCACGTGATTACACAGCTTGATATTGTAAACTTCCGGTTCAGCATAACGCACTTCCGGTCAAAGAATATTTGCGGGAAATTATGAATGACAGGTACTGACATGGGTATTCTCAATTTCTACTCGAGTTGTCTTTCTTCAACGGTCACAATACACACTTTTGTGTACATTTACCTCAATTTACCACCCTGGGTGGGATCGGGAGTCCTATTCCTAACGGGATACGCGGTTATTGGGCTACAGCCCATTTGTGACAAGTAATTATTTACTATTACAACTGACACCGTTTCGTGTACATTGGTATAAATATAACCATGCTTCATTATGTTTTTTTTCGAGGGCGAAGAAAGACAAAATTGGCTCGCCATTATATTTTAAGACACTGACTATGTATTCTATTTATCCTGAAACATTCATTAAAAATCTGACTATTGAAACTGAACAGTTTTGTTGATCAGTCTGTGTTTACCTGACACTGACGTTACTCTACAGTTGCCCGATGGCAGATGCCAAAATAATTGCTCCGCGCGGAATTAAAGCTCAAACTTCGTCGGATATAACAGCGATTTTATGAATTTTCTTAAATCAACTTGTTCATTACAACATGTAAAATCGCTTATTTCAATAACAATTTATATTTCTAAACGTAGTATTTAAGAATATTCAGAAAGAAATTCTGTCGAACTAATGCATGTGCTAAAATACAGCATAACTATATGTGGCAGGTTTATTCCGACAATGGCAGGGCAAGTTGCCGGAAAAAGCTGCGAGTCTCTGACCACGTATTCTCTCTATATAAAGTCTTACACGTCAAATGTAAATCTGGCAGACGAATTTATTTTGAATATTACTGAAAAATTGCAATTGTCGATTAGATAACATAAATTTACATCCTCATGCATTAAACTGCTTAAATATTATTTTACAATTTCAAAGAAAAATGCATTTAGTGTTTCCCATCTCTCTTCCGTTCTGTAGTGTCACGTGACAACCTGTTCATATTGAAGTAATCATATAATCACAGTTTAGATTTAAAGGGCCAAAGGTCACATTTGACAACTTTCATCAAACGTAGCACGTACATTGCATTGGCACAGTGGGATTCATATATGATCATATAAAGTCTCTGTTGTATCAATAAGTCTGGCCTGTGTGTAGTGAGGTCTCTGATCAGGACTGTGTTGTATCAATAAGTCTAACCCCCGTATATAGTGAGGTCTCTGATCAGGTCTGTGTTATATCAATAAGTCTGGCCCCTGTGTAGAATGTGGTCTCTGATCAGGTCTTTGTTGTATCAATAAGTCTGGCCCATGTGAATAGTGAGGACTCTGATCAGGTCTGTGCTGTATCAATAAATCTGGCCCCTGTGTATAGTGAGGTCTCTGATCAGGTCTGTGCTGTATCAATAAGTCTGGCCCCTGTGTATAGTGAGGTCTCTGATTGGGTCTGTGTTGTATTAAGTCATCCGTGGATGCAAACAGACAAAATTTATGTAAGATGTGATTTATCAACTATATTAAAGTACATGTACATAACGTTTTCGCTAGTTTTGAATAGTCAGGTATCGTAGAGGGATCGTGGCGCCAACCACAATTATTTGTCCTTTAAAAGTTCGGCATTTTCCCTTCCGTCACTTCTTTTCACTTTTCTTTTTTTTCCTCTTTCTTATATCAAATTTGAAAATTCCTCAGAAAATATTTTAAGTATTAAATCCAAGATGCATTTCATGTGGTTATTGGGGATCCTTGGTTGGAATATTGTCTATTCCATGCTTTATAAATCCGCACTAAATGTTCCGACGATCAGAAACAATGCGAAGTCCAATTTTATGTGTCCGGACGCTTTGGAGAATTCTTGCTGTAGTGGTCTGCGTGATGGCTTGATCGTGCTTCCGCTGGAATCGACGTCCTCTTGGGATTTTACACCTCCTCTAAAGAAAAGATATAATTCTTTAATCATTTTCAAATGTATGGACATAACCTATCTACGAAAAAGTAACTTAAAATCGGGAAACTTTTCAAAACGAATCGTCAGTGCTGTAATGTATTAGTATGAAAATATTCTTTTTGTATGATGAGGAGCGGCAGGTTTTGATATGAGGAAGGAGGAAACAGTTTATATGCTCTGAAGTTTACTGACGTGAGCTAATTGGAGAGGCGTGTTGATGAGGTTCAATGGGGAGGGGTAAACACTTAACAGTTTAATTTTTATATTCCTTCACATTGGGTTATCTGAGCTCGCACGAAATGTGTTCAGTGCACCAGTTCGAAAAAGATTCATTTTCCTGTCTGTAATGGCATAGATAATATGTATCTTTATATATGTATGATTCTACCAATGTTTAAATGGCATAGAAAAAGTGAACTGAATATAGATGTTACCTATAAAAACAATGATTTTGTATGAAATGACCTTTGGCAACGTGGACATGTGTACATTTCTATTTTACTAGCTCACCTTGTCGTGGGTACCACTTCAGTAACTGGAAGGAAGTCTTCATCCGTCGTAAGAGGACCTTCTTCGTCTCTTTAATAGCAATAGTTTATAAGATCATTTTTCTTTTTTTAGAGGAGATATAATTCTATTTGATTTGAATAATATAGGTTTTACTTAAGCAACAACAGAAAGACCTGTTTATCCGGATAATTTATAAGAAAAAAAACACACACATTAAGTTCATGGTGAGCGAATGTAGATGGAGATGCCGTGTTTTGTTTTAGATCCACCAAGGCGGTGAATTGAAACTTTACTCTTTCTCATAGAAAAATAGGGTTTAACACTTATTTTTAATAGGTTTATGAAAGGAATGTTGTCATTTGTAAGACATAGTTATATTGAAATTTCTTTGTCCGTAGTAACTATAGATGAGGATGAACTTCAATGTGTTTTGTTCAACATTTTCTAAGCCACAATTACAATACATATGTTAATTATAATGCCTGTTAACTATGACATATGCAAAAGCGTAGCCATGCTAAAAAATATCGACAGTGTACACATAAACTTGCTATATAGTTCAAAGTGTGAAAGAAAAATTATGCAACATTGACAGGAAAATTCTGCATTACAATATCTTTGGTTTTTACATTTTCCTGCCCATGGAACACCGTTTACAATTATCTTAATGAATTTTACCGGTCAGTATAGCCGGTTGCGATGCCCAACAGGGCCCGAAGGAATTCTATGATGACGGTTATAAGTTTGCTTTCAGGGTACGGGAGGTCATCAAAGCTGCTTGCAATATCCAACACATTAGAAATGGCGTCTGGTAGGTCCGAGATGTCAGCATTGGCGCGTGATCTGTTCGCGAGTCTGGCAATGGTGTCTGCGAGTTCCGGGATTTCGTCTGCAAATATCAACAGATTCTCAGTGATGTTTGCAATGCGTTGGAGGTAATCCTTGGTCCCTGTAAGGTTCGCAAAACCGAGTATGGTGTCTTCAAGGTCCGAGATTGCAGCAGAAAATTTGTCGGGAAATACATCACTCAAGAAGTTTGAAATGGCATTCTCCCATTTGTCAACCAAGCGGCCAACAAAGCGTCTGTAATGATAAAATTATATTGATATGCAGAGAGCATCGAGAATGGTATCAAGATTGTCATTCTATTGTGTTCTATTGATAAATGTTACTGGATGTACACCTTGTCAAATATAAAACTTTGTAACTAAACGGCTAAGTCCACTTCATGTACACTTTGTACAATTCATCTCACTAATCAGACCGCCGATTACCGGGTACATATTTCACATTGTATGATATCTGCCACGTGTCCAATCAGTAAACTGTAATTATATGTCAACATAGTTACTCAAATCTAATTATTGTTTGTTAATGGAATGAATGAACATATCATATTAATGACAAAATATGGACAAAAATGTCGTCTATTTGCGTGATCAAACACGATATTCAGACCATATCCCGCTATTACTGTTGTACAGTCCTCATGGTGGTCTTGGTAGTGAGGCTTCCCTAATAATATAATTATAGTAAAAACACTTCAATGATAGCACACTGTTTAGCGATTCCATATGTAGTAGTGTATTCGCCCTTCTTTCTGTTTTTTTCTGAAATCTGGCTAAAAACACCTCATCAGCAGTAAGATCGATAGGACAACACGATTAAATAAATATTACGATTGTTAAGGAAACATTCTCACATCTGAAAAAAACACTTACTTTTGAATTCTTTTGTTGTCCGGCTTTGTAGAACATTTCCCTGCCCCAGTACATCGACAAGTCATTTGACCTACCAGAACCGACAGCACAAAAACTGCAAATGTAAAGCACTTGTATTGTTTCCAAATCTCTGGTTCTATTCTCATTGGTTTCAGGTCTTCGTGTAAATCTGTCTTTTATTCATATTTTGCCCTAGTTTTACTTAATCTGAGTTAGAATTAAGATTCAGTTGACATGTTGGTATTTTCTTTGTTTACACTCTCTGCTCTCATAACAGTGTACCATCTAGAATTTAAATGTATTTACTAACAGTGTACTATATAGAATGTAAATATATTTACTAACAGTGTACCATATAGAATGTAAATACATTTACTAATAGTGTACCATATAGAATGTAAATATATTTACTAACAGTGTACCATATAGAATGTAAATGTATTTACTAACAGTGTACCATATAGAATGTAAATGTATTTACTAACAGTGTACCATATAGAATGTAAATATATTTACTAATAGTTTACCATATAGAATGTAAATATATTTACTAACAGTGTACCATATAGAATGTAAATATATTTACTAATAGTTTACCATATAGAATGTAAATATATTTACTAACAGTGTACCATATAGAATGTAAATATATTTACTAATAGTTTACCATGTAAATATATTTACTAACAGTGTACCATATAGAATGTAAATATATTTACTAATAGTTTACCATGTAAATATATTTACTAACAGTGTACCATATAGAATGTAAATATATTTACTAATAGTTTACCATGTAAATATATTTACTAAC